CTGGTTATGGCAACATCAATTCGGCGTGTTTGGTGATAATTTTTACATTTTGCATTTTAGTGTTTGTTGAATTTGGTAGAGTGGATAATGTTTTCCTGTTATTTGCCAGTTATAATTGAATTTATTTATCATTATATTGTTAACTTTATTTGTTAGGTCTGTTTTGGAGTAAGGTATTTTTATTTTGTTTTGTTTTTTGAGTGGAGACCAAGTGTGGCAGCTTGGTCTGCCATCTCGTTGCCATGGACTCCTGTATGTGACGGGACCCAGGTAAAATGTATTTGATTATTTTTATTTCGGTGGTATAGTATTCTTCTGTATATGTTATTTATTAGATCTGGTCTTTTTGTTGTAGAGTAAGTTTTGAGAGCTTGTATGGAGCTTAAGGAATCCGTTAAAATGCAGATGGTAGTGTTTGTTTTGTCAGATGTTGTTTGCAAGGCCTGAACTATGGCTGCGAGTTCTGCTGTGAAGATACTGGAGTTTGCTGAGAGATTATAGGATTGTTTAAGGCCTTTTTGGGTATGTAGATACTAAAACCAGTACTACCATTTTGGTCCTTGGATCCGTCAGTATAAATATGAAGATTATCTTGTGGATTGTAATTTTGTTGTATGAATTCTTGCACTGTGAATTTATTAAGTATATAGTTTTCAGTAAGCTTTGTGTTGGCCAATATTTTTGGCAGTAATGCTGGAGGAAGAGATTTGTAATATGGGTTTGTATTATATTCTGTAGTATATAAATCAAGTTGTTGTTTAATTTCCTGTATTTTTTGTCCAAAAGGTTCTGGGCATGTACCTTTATTGATAACGATTTTATTTTAATTTTAAGAGATGTATAGTGGTTTTCAGTTTTGTTTGTTATTGGGGTTGTTAAGGGATTGAGTTACATATTTCATTGTACCGCCTCCGTGGTGTAGTGGATAAGAGCGTCCGCCCGGAGAGCGGAAGGTCGAGGGCTCGATCCCCGACCGAGTCATACCAAAAAGATGTTAAAATATGGTACTTGTTGGTCCCTGCCTGGCGTTCGGCATTAATGGGTACAACAAGGACTGGTCGGCTCAGAGTCAGTATAATGTGTCTGAGTGGGGTATTCATGCTTCACTGCGGCATTGTATCTCAGTGGGCGAGAACTATATAACCAGCTTCAGTCTGGGCTAGTACAAGCAGCCGCACATACACATACACTGACTGACTGAGTTTAGTTTTACGCCGCTTTTAGCAATATTCCAGCAATATCACGGCGGGGGACACAAGAAATGGGCTTAACACATTGTGCCCATGTGGGGAATCGAACCCGGGCCTTCGGCGTGACGAGCCAACGCTTTAACCACTAGGCTACCCCACCGCCCCTACACATACACACGCAATCACGTCGTCATATGAGCGAAATATTCTCAAGCACGACGTTAAACCCAATTTCACCTCACCTCACCTCACCTCACCTCACATACCGTAGTTCATTGTACATCGTTCCCATTTGAGAGTGAGGTCTAGTTCCCCGCATTCTACCAATAATGCTTGGAAGGATGTTCCTGGGAAGGCTCCAGTTATACATTTAAGAGCATGGAATTGGATGGAACTGAGTTTGTTTTTTATGTGTTTGTGCAATATCTTGAAATATTTTGCAGCCATGGAATAATTTAGATTGATGAGTGATTTATATTGTGGTAGTAATGTTTGTTTGTTGCTAACTCATTTAAAATATGATTGGTATTTACTAATGTTGAGATCTGACTTGCATTTTTCTGCATGAATTGAATGTGTTTGTTCTATGTTAAGTGCTGGTCTAGGATTAGACCGAGAAATTTTACTGTATATGATTGCGGTACTTTTTGACTGTTAATATAAAGATGTACGTTTTGTTTTCTTCGGTGTTGTGCTTTGAATACTACAGTTGTTGTTTTAGTGGTAGAGAGTTGGAACCCCCATTGGTTGGTCCAGTTTTCAATATTAAGTGCAGCTTGAATTTGTTTTTGTGCTTTGTGTATATTGTTTTCATTAACCTATATTGCTCCATCGTCGGCAAACTGGGGTTTGTTTAAATTATGTTTTTACTGAGGTTGTTGAATACATCATAACATTGAAGAGAGTGGGTGAGATGATACTTCCCTGGGGTGTGCCATTTACTAGTGTATAGTTTTGGGAGATTTGATGGTTTATGGAGACCTTAAAGTCTTTGTCTGTTAGAAAGGCTGATACAAAATTTAGAAGTGCCCCTTTTAAACCTATTCTTCCTAATATTTGGATGACACCCGGTCTCCAGAGCATATCAAATGGAGACATCCAAGAAGACTGCAAGTGTGTATTCAGCCAAACGGCAAATTATCACTTGCCAAATTCCTGAAACAATTACCCACACAATCTTTACTGCTCAAAATATAATAAACAAAGAACCCCATTTACCAATGCTTTAAAACAGTACCTCAACAATGCTAACTCTTCTGATCTCAAGCACATTCTAACAAATCCCAAATTAATTAACCCACTCACTAAATATCTCATTCATACAAAATTATAGCAAACAATCCAGCAACAAAAGCAATAATACCACTTTTTACCACTTTTAAAATTGTTATAAATTTGTATATATGTTCTTTGAACTTTTAAAAAGAGTTATCTCTTTTTATCAACTTCACTTTTTAACCTTTTATATGTTTATCATTATTCACATAATATATATGTTTTTAAACATTGGTTGGTTGAAAAAATACAATAACAAATACTTTTTACTACGCTACATTTGTATTAAATTCCAAATCTCTATTACTCTTTACCTATTTCATATTGTTTACCTTTTAATTCGGCCTCCCGTTCAAATTTCCCTTAATACTCAGTTGCTTTTGTTTTTGTTGTTTTTTGGGTAGTCACACCTTTCAAAATATTTATTTCTGTTCCCCCTCATTTCTTAATAAGTGTACTACCCCGTCGCCGAAACACCTTAGTTGTGCGCGCGACGTTAAATAAAGCAAATAACTACTACTACCCTACCATTCACTTGATGAAGGAGTAAGCATACTCTCCGAAACGTCGTGTTATTCACAATAAAGAAGTTGATATCCATACATCTTGCTTTTCTTATTGTCTGCATTAATTCAGTTCACTCACTGCACATGTGTGGACACAAGAGGGGGTGTAGAGATCAGTATATGGTGACACCACCCCTTGCAGCCGTCACTGCTCGACACAGCTTTGGAAGGGATTGCACAAGTCGTCGGATATTTGCTGGGGGAATTCTTCACCATTCCTCCTGCAACGGGATGGCAAGTTCTGCCAGTGTCTGAGGACGATGCTGAAGATCATGGACGCGTCGATCAAGTTCGTCCCATAGATGCTCGATCGGGTTCAGATCAGGCAATTTGGATAGCTGGCGTTTGCATTGGCGAGATAGGCACCTGTTACACGAGCTGTGTGGGGTCGGAAGTTGTCGTGTTCCCTCGGCGGAAACAGCTCCCTCTGGCGGTAAAGTGGGAGGAGGTGAGGTCGCAGGATTTGGTTGATATATCGATTTGCTGTAAGATTGCCTCGAGCCACGACTAGCCCTGATCTCCTCGTGCAGGACATGGGTCCCCACACCATGACGCGGTCTCCACCAAATCTGTCCACCTGTCGGCGCAAAACATTCGTGTCGATGTCGATAGACACGTTGTCTCCAATCGCGTCGTTGCAGGAGGAAACGCGATTCATCACTAAACCAAACGCGTCGCCAGTTCCCTAGGTTCCATTCCTGCATCCCGTTGCACTATTGGACACGTCGTTGTCGGTGTAGTCGTGTCATCATAAGCCCAACTGTATGTTTGTTTGGTCGGAAATTCTTTGAAGACTAGTGTCCGTTGCTGAAGGAAATCGGTGACATAGGTGAAACACCCGGATGAATCAGTCTTGAGCAGGCGTGGTCACTCTTGGTTTTCTACTTCTGGGACGATCTTGGGTATTAGCGGGTATATCGAGCTCGAGGCCATGATCGAGATATGGTGCTGTGGTCGACGTTGACGTGTCTTGCAACGGCAGACTAGGACTCCCCTGCTTCCAAACGTCCAATGGCGATATTTCAGTCAGTGGCATTCAATCTTAGCATTTGTTATCTTGGTTTTGTAAGGAAATGATACGGATGGATTTGGTTTGAACCTTTTATATTCGATGTCTCTACACATTGCACGTGTATTACGTGGAAAATTGTTTCTGTATGCACTTTTTCATGTCTCCTTTTCATTATTTATGACAAACGTTTACAAACACATTTTGAGCGCAATACACAACAACCACGACATGATTAACGAGATTCAAACATAAGAATTGACTTAATGACGATTGCTGTCACAATATATCGAAATGAGCTGCAGAAAACGCCTGTTCTTTTCTTCTCTTTTTTTGAAGAGTGTATGTACAGTAGCAATTCAATACAGTGTAACCGGTACTATCAGAAAATATAATTTTAATGATTCATTAACAATCATGACTTATTTCCCATTAGTGACCTATGCTCCCTGTCTGTTTTGTTCCATTTCACAGTAGCAGTACTGCTATAGATTGTGTTGAAACCAAAATACTCGTAGATGTTTCATTTTAGTAGGATACACTAACGTACATACTCATATCCAGACTGAGAAATTCCGTTTTATAATGTATAATTGAACCTAAAATATTTACAATATAATCCTTTTACTTTATTTCATTCTGAATTAAACTTTTGCTCGACAGCTGCATGTGTGGCAGACTGATGTAAAACAAAACATGTTTGTGTTTTAAATTTTCAACTTGGTGTCTTATCCTTATTCCTAGTAGGAGGGGTAAGCCTAGTCCGTTCGTCATGCCCCAACCCTCGGTTCGATTCTCTCCATGGGTACTATCTGCGATGCGCATTTATGGTTTTCCCTGCCTTGATATTGCTGGAATAATGCTGAGAGTTTCGTAATACCATACTAAATAACTCACTCTCTCTCTTGACATCCTATGGGGAGGTATAACTGTGTAATGTCTTTGATAATTATATTACAGCGAAAGGCAGCTTGGCTGAATCTAAAGTGTTCGTGGAAAATGGGAAACCTCTGCGGAAGAACAAGGCTGCAAAAATATTTGATGAGAAGCCGAAATCCTGCGCGAAAGTCAATGGCATCTTGAACATTACATTTGTGGCCCACACGTTTACCGGTATCGACATTGTTGTCCTGCCAGGAAGTAAGTTCATTGTAGATGCATGCGATGAGTTTGATTGAGATACTTTAGACAATTGCAAATTCTCAAAACAAATGACCATAAACTACCAAGTGCGAGTACATATTAATGTAAACCGTGATATACATAAACAACATGTATATTATTAAACATAAAACGAGATACTAAGCAATTTATCTAAATTTGGTCGTTACAACAACAATACTGTCTGTAACATTCAGTCGCATATAGTCGCGTAAACCAAGTTTCTTGATTTTATTGTATGATAGGAAAACTATAATTAGTTGTTGTTTCAGATATAACTCTGACGGTGGACGGAGCGAACCTACATGAAGACTGTCGGTGTGAAGAGGGAACAATAACTAAGAAGAAATTAAAGTTAACTGGTATCAATTTTAGTTGTCCATTGCAAACGTCGACGAGCCTCCAGCTGTTCGGCGTGAAACGGCTTTGTGATCTCAAGCTGCACAACAAATCGGGTACGGTGTTAGCTGACAAGACACATGACAAATTGATGTACATATATGAAGCATAATATAACCAGAGTATGACAACTTTGTTTTAGGTGCAGGGGGAAAGCAAATAAAGTGCACTGAGTGGAACCAAATGAGAGAAGACACGACACAAAAGCCAGGTAATCACAGATCATCTAAAAAGATAGTTATATTTTACATGTACGTCCACGGTAGAGTATACAAAATATGGGAATTAAAATTATGAAACAAAATATTGACCTAATAAGGAAACATACCTGAAGACAAGGTTTTAAAATATACATATTAAGTGCGTTTTGTTTATTTTTCTCTAAAATTATAAAACTAATGTTTCAGGGAGAAGCACAGAGCCCCCCGACCCTTGCTCCAGCGGTTCCTTCAAGTGCCAGAATGGAACCTGTAGCCTTGTGAACAACACTCCTCTTTGTCAGTGTTACGATGGTTCAACCGGGCAGCACTGTGACAAAAGTACAATTATTTGTGTGCCTGCTTTAATAGTTATACATGCTTGTATCTAACTTGTATCTCCTTGCCTGCAGTTATTTCTTCTCTTTTTGCAGAGTGATTAAAACTGTCCGTCATATTGGTTTTCACTTCATATCCAGTAAAGACCCGCGGAAAACCGGGTTAGAATTGATCTTCACTAACCCATGCTTGTCGTAAGAGGCGACTAACGGGATCGGGTGGTCAGGCTCGCTGACTGGGTTGACACATGTCAGGTTATCCAAATTGTGTAGATCGATGCTCATGATGTTGATCAGTGGGTTGTCTGGTCCAGTTTCGATTATTTACAGACCGCCGCCATATATCAAAAATATTGCCGAGTGCAGCGTTAAACAACAAACAAACAAACATATTGAGTAAAAGACCCACAAAAGTGAAAAGACACACAATGAACATCACTAGTCTCCCTTCTATTGATTTCTGTATTGAATCTGCTACTTTTCGATACTGATAATTTCCTGAAGCCACGTTTTGAAATCACAAGGGCCATTATTGTATATACTGGAAGAAATGTCACCCATGTCTCTGATGAGTATTGTCCGGTCTTACATACGCTATAAATATTTCCACCAGCATGTGATCCCGGTACCTTTGGGGCAAACTGCAGTGAAACGTGCGGAGAAGGATGTGTCAATAGTACCTGCGACGTTAAAAGTGGAACATGCTCCTGTTTGCGCGGATGGAATGGATCAAGATGTGAAAAGGGTGGGTTTGGAGTTTTAATAATGACATAGTTTAGCTAAATGATTCAATTAGCTTAGTGTTGTTGTAACAATACGTTCATTGGCATCATTTCAGCAGAGTCGATATACGTCTCAAAAGTTTATATATAATATATGTGTGTATAATTTCAGCATGTACTCCTGGTACGTTTGGTGCGAACTGTAGACATAAGTGCGGGGAAGGATGTGTCAATGGCACTTGTGGCATCAAAAGCGGAAATTGCTCCTGTTTGCGCGGGTGGAATGGATCAAGATGTGAAATGAGTGGGTTTTGAGTTTTAATAATTACGAATTGTAGCAAAATTGGGAAAAGATTTGTTAGCACAATTCTATAAAAAAGCTTAAAGTTTTAGAACGGGTTTAACGTCAAAACTATAGTAGAAAATCAGTTAACATTTTATGAAGTCGATATACGACATAGATTACCTCAGCATTGTGTATGTCTTCATGCTTGGGTGTGTAATATTTCAGCTTGTGACCACGGTACCTTTGGCGTAGACTGCAGTAAGAAGTGTGCGGACGGATGTGTAAATGGCTCCTGTGACGTTAAGAATGGAACGTGCTCCTGTTTGCCCGGATGGAAGGGATCAAGATGTGACACTGGTGGGTTTTGAGTTTTAATAATTACGTAGTTTAGCTAAATGATTCAATTAGTTTGGTATTGTTCTGACAATATGTTCATTGACATGAGTTTAATGGAGTCGATATCTTCTATTTCTTCATCATTGTACATGACGTCAAGTGAGTGAGTGAATTTAGTTTTACGCCGGATGAAAGGGATCAAAATGTGACATTGGTGGGTTTTGAGTTTTAATAATTCCGTACTGTAGCAAAATGGGAAAAGGATTGGTTAGTACAGTTCAATATAACCCTTAAAGTTTTAGAATGGGTTTAACGTCCAATCTATCATTCAAAATGCATTTAACATTTCATGAAGTCGATATACGGCATTACTTACATCATCATAGTGTATGTCTTCATGCATGGGTGTGTAATATTTCAGCTTGTGACCACGGTACCTTTGGCGTAGACTGCAGTAAGAAGTGTGCGGACGGATGTGTAAATGGCTCCTGTGACGTTAAAAATGGAACGTGCTCCTGTTTGCCCGGATGGAAGGGATCAAGATGTGATACAGGTAGGTTTTGAGTTTTAATAATTACGTAGTTTAGCTAAATGATTCAATTAGCTTGGCATTGTTCTGACAATACGTTCATTGACATCAGTTTAATGGTGTCGATATCTTCTATTTCCTCACCACAGTGCACTGATGTAATAAAGCCAAATCTACATCAGAAAAATACCACATTAATGGTTGAACGCATTAAAATATCCCGCGAATGAATTATGTGTATAAAACAATGAATGTTACCAGCTGTACATGCGGCGTGTTATAGTGATTGGTACCATTGTATTTACAGATCAATATACGGCCTTAAACCCCGCAAATCTGAAAACTGATTTCACAAACAATATTTTTCTACATTTTCTATTTATTACTGACAGTGACAATTCACAATATCCATTTATTTGTATTGTCGTGTTATGGTTATCAGTTCAGATCATTGATAGCATCAGATGAATATTTGGTTCTTGTATGCCTGATCTACCACCAGAATGCCCAGACGCAACCTTCGGTGACAACTGCACGGGAAGATGCAGCCGTGGGTGCTCCCGACCCTACTGCAACAAGACAGACGGAAGCTGTGTGTGTCGGCCAGGGTATAAAGGTTCCACCTGCCACGATGGTCAGTTATGCAACCTACTGATCACAACTTAAGTAGAATTTGTATGTGACATTTATATGAGTTCACCAATAAAGGGCAAGGTCATAACTTGTTAATTAACTATAGGTACAGTCGTAAAAGCAAAAGATAGCAAAAAAGAATAACAAATGAACTAGTTACCTTCCAGAAGAAAAAATATAATTTTGGGGATTTGACAATGTTCCTGAATGATAAATGCAAAATGGCCTGTTTTCCTTCATTAAGAAATGTGTGATATAGTACACATTATGTAAAGGATCTCATTAATGTGCATGCAGGCAAAGCGATTGATGGCTCCATTCCGAAAGACCAATTTACATAGTTATCTCCCCCTAACTGGTTTTAAGATTCACACATAGTTTTTGTTTGTGTTGTATAAAACATTAAACATAGGTGACATATGCATTTGATATGTTTGAATGTCTTACACATTTGTGCTTAATTGTAACCATTTAATACCATTTTATATTGCAATTTTGTTCTAGTAAACTATACTGGAGAATAACAAAAGTGCATACATCTCAGACGAAATATACGTACAACTCAGTCAAACATTTGATTTTTTGATATTACACATATATCATTCGTATCACATTGCAACCGCTTTAGTTTTAATAATAACTATAGTTGGCAAATAACATCTAAGAGTACAGTCGGTTACCTGAAAAAATGTTGAATCATTGCTCCACGCCCGCTAGTGGGCTTAAGCTACGGCTTTGATTTGTAAGGCTGATATTTTTGTATTCGAGACCCAATTCTAAATAAGAAATTATAATACACAATGCCATTTAGAAAGTGGTCAAATGTAACATGCTATGTTTGTGATTACACTTTCTAGTACAGAAAGTACATATTCTAGTACTCTTGTTTGGTCGAGTCCCATCCAAGATTCGAACCCACACTCTCAGCCTCAGGCACCTAATCGCCAGCACACAAAGTCAGCCTACTCAGCCACGGTGGATTGTTTACGATAAATTGATTTTTTTCTCTGTTGATTTTACAGATGTTTTATGCAATGTTCGTGTTGAAAGACTTGGTAATGAATATCATGGCCTTTTAAAATACCCAGCTTATAGCAATTTACTCATACGATACTAACCTGCTCATTATTAGGAAACTCCAGTCATGTAAGTATCCTAGTGTTGGGAATTGGTTACAATCTCATAATTGCTGATTGGTTCATTAGAACCGATCAATCATAGAAACTAATTGGTTAGCGTCATTATAAAATTTTCCAGTTATGTTTGTTAATGCACAACAACAACAAAAAAAGAAAAACCATGAAGTTCTTTCGGGTGTTTTTGCAAGTTGCACAAAATGCATTTCCAAATTTTACATTTATGAAGGAGGACTAGTATGCTAGGAACATAAATTTCCTGGAGTCTTTTAAGATAAATTTGATCATGATTTGGAACGAGCTCGTTGTGCTTATGAAATGTAAATTAATTGACACAGAATAACCAACATTGTGACAAAAATACTGTTAATGCAAACAAGTGTTCCAAAATTGTTTGTGTTCAATTATGAGAAAACATGATCAATTTCTTGATAGTTCAGTCACTGGGACCAATCTTCGATTATTTCAATTAATCGGACCACCACTAATATATCCCCGCCCTCAACGAATACTGATGCTAGTTTGTCATAGTAACTCTCTTTGTGAGACGATGTTAGGCATTCAAATATATAATGTAGACGCTCTCTTTACAACCTGTCCTCAAACTGACAATCTGTAGTCAGTCATGGTAAGTATATATGTCACAAATTCTGTTGGCAACAACCGTTTTGGATTTACTGCTACTGATGGAAGGGTGGAAATAGGATAGACACCATAATTTAATTTGGAAAACTGACTACATTTAAAATCAATAGGCGAATTCATGTTTTGACCAACGACAACTTTCATCGTGAGTTATGCCATTTTTCACAATCCGAAAACAACAGAGATAGCTCCATGTTATAACATGAGGGATTAAACTCTTGTCAGAGATGTGTTAAAAAGATACAAGTAGGTGTATTTAGGGTTAATGCATCACATTATCAACGATCTGCATTGGCCTTCTATACACTTTGTCTTGTCAGAGTGTAAAAACGGAACCTATGGTCACTACTGTAATGCCAACTGCAGCCAAGGATGTTCCACAACCGCCTGTGACAAGATCAACGGGTCATGTAGCTGCAAAGCTGGCTACACTGGGCCAACCTGCGATGAACGTACGTCCTATACGAGTTTAATCTTGTCAGATCGTAATGATTTCTTCAAAAATATAGAAAGTGGATAGTTCGTATGATGTATTTAGTTTTAATGCATCACTTACATCTGAAATGACCCTCTAAACACTTGTCTTGCCAGGGTGCAAAAACGGAACCTATGGTCACTACTGTAATGCCAACTGTAGCCAAGGATGTTCCACTGCCGCCTGTGACAAGGCCAACGGGTCATGCAGCTGCAAACGAGGCTACACTGGCCCAACCTGCCATGAAAGTAAGTTCTATACATGTACATGTTTCATATTGTCAGATCATAATGAGAGAAGCAGATTCTAGTTTGTATGTGATAGGTTTAATGCATCACTTCCATATGAAATAAGCACTTTTGTTATCAGAGTGTAAAAACGGAACCTACGGTCACTACTGTAATTCAAGCTGCAGTGAAGGATGTTCGAGTGAGTGTGACAAGGCCAACGGGAAAGTGCAGCTGCAAACCGGGATACAAAGGAAACAAAATGTGTCCGGCGTGAGTTACATCAAATGTTTCTTATTGTTAACGCTTTAGACTTGCCCTTGCATGTATTTGTGACTTGTGCCAGTGTCGGGTAGGACACGAGCACCTTTACGTGACAACTTGGTCTTATGACTACTGAATGTGATACATGAGCGCATGCTCATGACAAAAACAAACTCACAAAACAAACAATCGACTCCCATTTCAGCAAAGATTTCTCGTCAATATGAAAAGAGTTTTCATCGCTTCTATGAACTATCATTATTTAATAATCAATTAATGCAACAACATACTCCTGCATCAAAGTTCTGAATTACAGTATTAAAAGAAATAAGCTTTGAACTTCCCAATAATGTGTTAAATCGTAGGGTTGTTAGTGTCAAGAGAATAGTTTTATATCAGTAGTTTACTTACATTTAATATGACTCTTGACACTTGTCTTGCCAGGGTGCAAAAACGGAACCTATGGTCACAACTGTAATGCCAACTGTAGCCAAGGATGTTCCACTACCGCCTGTGACAAGGTCAACGGGTCATGCAGCTGCAAACCCGGCTACACTGGGCCAACCTGCGATGAACGTACGTCCTATACGAGTTTAGTCAGATTATAATGGTGTGTTCAAAAAGATAGAAGGTGAATAGTTCGTATGGTGTATTTAGTGACAATGCATCGCTTCCATGTGAAAGCACCTGATGCGCACTTTTCTTGCCAGGGTGTAAAGACGGAACCTATGGTCACAACTGTAATGCCAACTGTAGTCAAGGATGTTCCAGAGCCGCCTGTGACATGATCAACGGGTCATGTAGCTGCAAAGCTGGCTACACTGGGCCAACCTGCGATGAACGTACGTCCTATACGAGTTTAATCTTGTCAGATCGTAATGATTTCTTCAAAAATATAGAAAGTGGATAGTTCGTATGATGTATTTAGTTTTAATGCATCACTTACATCTGAAATGACCCTCTAAACACTTGTCTTGCCAGGGTGCAAAAACGGAACCTATGGTCACTACTGTAATGCCAACTGTAGCCAAGGATGTTCCACTGCCGCCTGTGACAAGGCCAACGGGTCATGCAGCTGCAAACGAGGCTACACTGGCCCAACCTGCCATGAAAGTAAGTTCTATACATGTACATGTTTCATATTGTCAGATCATAATGAGAGAAGCAGATTCTAGTTTGTATGTGATAGGTTTAATGCATCACTTCCATATGAAATAAGCACTTTTGTTATCAGAGTGTAAAAACGGAACCTACGGTCACTACTGTAATTCAAGCTGCAGTGAAGGATGTTCGAGTGAGTGTGACAAGGCCAGTGGAAAGTGCAGCTGCAAACCGGGATACAAGGGAAACAAATGTGTCCGGCGTGAGTTACATCAAATGTTTCTTATTGTTAACGCTTTAGACTTGCCCTTGCATGTATTTGTGACTTGTGCCAGTGTCGGGTAGGACACGAGCACCTTTACGTGACAACTTGGTCTTATGACTACTGAATGTGATACATGAGCGCATGCTCATGACAAAAACAAACTCACAAAACAAACAATCGACTCCCATTTCAGCAAAGATTTCTCGTCAATATGAAAAGAGTTTTCATCGCTTCTATGAACTATCATTATTTAATAATCAATTAATGCAACAACATACTCCTGCATCAAAGTTCTGAATTACAGTATTAAAAGAAATAAGCTTTGAACTTCCCAATAATGTGTTAAATCGTAGGGTTGTTAGTGTCAAGAGAATAGTTTTATATCAGTAGTTTACTTACATCTAATATGACTCTTGACACTTGTCTTGTCAGAGTGCAAAAACGGAACCTATGGTCACAACTGTAATGCCAACTGTAGCCAAGGATGTTCCACTACCGCCTGTGACAAGGTCAACGGGTCATGCAGCTGCAAACCCGGCTACACTGGGCCAACCTGCGATGAACGTACGTCCTATACGAGTTTAGTCAGATTATAATGGTGTGTTCAAAAAGATAGAAGGTGAATAGTTCGTATGGTGTATTTAGTGACAATGCATCGCTTCCATGTGAAAGCACCTGATGCGCACTTTTCTTGCCAGGGTGTAAAGACGGAACCTATGGTCACAACTGTAATGCCAACTGTAGTCAAGGATGTTCCAGAGCCGCCTGTGACATGATCAACGGGTCATGTAGCTGCAAAGCTGGCTACACTGGGCCAACCTGCGATGAACGTACGTCCTATACGAGTTTAATCTTGTCAGATCGTAATGATTTCTTCAAAAATATAGAAAGTGGATAGTTCGTATGATGTATTTAGTTTTAATGCATCACTTACATCTGAAATGACCCTCTAAACACTTGTCTTGCCAGGGTGCAAAACGGAACCTATGGTCACTACTGTAATGCCAACTGTAGCCAGGATGTTCCACTGCCGCCTGTGACAAGGCCAACGGGTCGCGCAGCTGCAAACGAGGCTACACTGGCCCAACCTGCCATGAAAGTAAGTTCTATACATGTACATGTTTCATATTGTCAGATCATAATGAGAGAAGCAGATTCTAGTTTGTATGTGATAGGTTTAATGCATCACTTCCATATGAAATAAGCAATTTTGTTATCAGAGTGTAAAAACGGAACCTACGGTCACTACTGTAATTCAAGCTGCAGTGAAGGATGTTCGAGTGAGTGTGACAAGGCCAGTGGAAAGTGCAGCTGCAAACCGGGATACAAGGGAAACAAATGTGTCCGGCGTGAGTTACATCAAATGTTTCTTATTGTTAACGCTTTAGACTTGCCCTTGCATGTATTTGTGACTTGTGCCAGTGTCGGGTAGGACACGAGCACCTTTACGTGACAACTTGGTCTTATGACTACTGAATGTGATACATGAGCGCATGCTCATGACAAAAACAAACTCACAAAACAAACAATCGACTCCCATTTCAGCAAAGATTTCTCGTCAATATGAAAAGAGTTTTCATCGCTTCTATGAACTATCATTATTTAATAATCAATTAATGCAACAACATACTCCTGCATCAAAGTTCTGAATTACAGTATTAAAAGAAATAAGCTTTGAACTTCCCAATAATGTGTTAAATCGTAGGGTTGTTAGTGTCAAGAGAATAGTTTTATATCAGTAGTTTACTTACATCTAATATGACTCTTGACACTTGTCTTGTCAGAGTGCAAAAACGGAACCTATGGTCACAACTGTAATGCCAACTGTAGCCAAGGATGTTCCACTACCGCCTGTGACAAGGTCAACGGGTCATGCAGCTGCAAACCCGGCTACACTGGGCCAACCTGCGATGAACGTACGTCCTATACGAGTTTAGTCAGATTATAATGGTGTGTTCAAAAAGATAGAAGGTGAATAGTTCGTATGGTGTATTTAGTGACAATGCATCGCTTCCATGTGAAAGCACCTGATGCGCACTTTTCTTGCCAGGGTGTAAAGACGGAACCTATGGTCACAACTGTAATGCCAACTGTAGTCAAGGATGTTCCAGAGCCGCCTGTGACATGATCAACGGGTCATGTAGCTGCAAAGCTGGCTACACTGGGCCAACCTGCGATGAACGTACGTCCTATACGAGTTTAATCTTGTCAGATCGTAATGATTTCTTCAAAATATAGAAAGTGGATAGTTCGTATGATGTATTTAGTTTTAATGCATCACTTACATCTGAAATGACCCTCTAAACACTTGTCTTGCCAGGGGTGCAAAACGGAACCTATGGTCACTACTGTAATGCCAACTGTAGCCAAGGATGTTCCACTGCCGCCTGTGACAAGGCCAACGGGTCATGCAGCTGCAAACGAGGCTACACTGGCCCAACCTGCCATGAAAGTAAGTTCTATACATGTACATGTTTCATATTGTCAGATCATAATGAGAGAAGCAGATTCTAGTTTGTATGTGATAGGTTTAATGCATCACTTCCATATGAAATAAGCACTTTTGTTATCAGAGTGTAAAAACGGAACCTACGGTCACTACTGTAATTCAAGCTGCAGTGAAGGATGTTCGAGTGAGTGTGACAAGGCCAGTGGAAAGTGCAGCTGCAAACCGGGATACAAGGGAAACAAATGTGTCCGGCGTGAGTTACATCAAATGTTTCTTATTGTTAACGCTTTAGACTTGCCCTTGCATGTATTTGTGACTTGTGCCAGTGTCGGGTAGGACACGAGCACCTTTACGTGACAACTTGGTCTTATGACTACTGAATGTGATACATGAGCGCATGCTCATGACAAAAACAAACTCACAAAACAAACAATCGACTCCCATTTCAGCAAAGATTTCTCGTCAATATGAAAAGAGTTTTCATCGCTTCTATGAACTATCATTATTTAATAATCAATTAATGCAACAACATACTCCTGCATCAAAGTTCTGAATTACAGTATTAAAAGAAATAAGCTTTGAACTTCCCAATAATGTGTTAAATCGTAGGGTTGTTAGTGTCAAGAGAATACTTTAACATCAATAGTTTACTTACATTTGAAATGACCTTCTAAACACTTGTCTTGTCAGAGTGCCAAAACGGAACCTATGGTCACTACTGTAATGCCATATGTAGCCAAGGATGTTCCACTACCGCCTGTGACAAGATCAACGGGTCCTGCATCTGCAAAGATGGCTACACTGGGCCAACCTGCGATGAACGTACGTCCTATACGAGTTTAGTCTTGTCAGATCATAATGATTTGTTCAAAAATATAGAAAGTGGATAGTTCGTATGATGTATTTAGTTTTAATGCATCACTTACATCTGAAATGACCCTCTAAACACTTGTCTTGTCAGAGTGTAAAGACGGAACCTACGGTCACTACTGTAATACAAGCTGCAGTGAAGGATGTTCCAGTGAGTGTAACAAGGCCAACGGAAAGTGCAGCTGCAAGCCGGGATACAAGGGAAACAAATGTGTCTGGCGTGAGTTACATCAAATATTTCTTATTGTTAACGCTTTAGACTTGCCCTTGCATGTGTTTGTGACTTACAGGACACGAGCACTTTTACGTGACAACTTGGTCTTATAACTACTGAAAGTGATACATGAGCGCATGCTCATGTCAAAAACAAACTCACAAAACAAACAATCGACTCCCATTTCAACAGAGATTTCTCGTCCATATGAAAAGAGTTTCTATCGCTTCTATGAACTTATTATTTAATTATCAACTAATGCAACAACATACTCCTGCATCAAAGTTCTGAATTACAGTATTAAAAGAAATAAGCTTTGAAGTTCCCAATAATGTGTTAAATCGTAGGGTTGTTAGTGTCAAGAGAATAGTTTTATATCAGTAGTTTACTTACATTTAATATGACTCTTGACACTTGTCTTGTCAGAGTGCAAAAACGGAACCTATGGTCACAACTGTAATGCCAACTGTAGCCAAGGATGTTCCACTACCGCCTGTGACAAGGTCAACGGGTCATGCAGCTGCAAACCCGGCTACACTGGGCCAACCTGCGATGAACGTACGTCCTATACGAGTTTAGTCAGATTATAATGGTGTGTTCAAAAAAGATAGAAGGTGAATAGTTCGTATGGTGTATTTAGTGACAATGCATCGCTTCCATGTGAAAGCACCTGATGCGCACTTTTCTTGCCAGGGTGTAAAGACGGAACCTATGGTCACTACTGTAATGCCAACTGCAGTCAAGGATGTTCCAGAGCCGCCTGTGACATGATCAACGGGTCATGCAGCTGCAAACCCGGCTTTACTGGACCAACCTGCCATGAAAGTACGTTCTATACGCGTTTCGTGTCGTCAGATCGTAATGATGGAATACACCCAGTCTGTCCAAGTCAGGTGCCATCCAAAGTCTGACTGACATGCATGAATAGTTTGTCATTCCTACTAACAAGGCCATATATCCATAACCATTATAAGTAAACATCACTGCATAATAAATTATTTAATCAAAGTTCTTGGCATACGTGATATAGTAAACAAAGTGCCACATATAAGTCCAGTTTTTTAACTAAGGAAGAAATCTGAAAAAAAACATCCAACGGTGCTATCAACGTTTGACCTGACATGTAAATATGATGACATGTCCATTCCTCTTATGTACTGCATTTCAAAGCTACATAAAAATCCGTACAAACAGATATTTATTTGGGTCCAACAAATGTACCACCAAATCCCTGTCTCAGATTAACCATAGTCCTTAATACTATGAAGGAAGGAAAGTTTCGATATTCACAGAGAGTATTTTAGACTACCGGAATTTATACTGTGTGGATTCTCAAAAACTCAAAGTATTTGCTCACATTTTTACAATCGCAGAAACGAAACTAGTTCCGTTTTGTCAAACATTTGATTTTTCAATGCTGTATACCACTATCCCACATAACACTTAAGGAAAAGCTTCTTTTCTTGATCCATGGGGCATTTGTAAATAAACGTGGTTAACGCAGATATAGCTACATATGTATCTTCAGAGGTGCAGGGGAATTAGAAATAAAAGCAACTGTCATTTAAAGTTAACCGAGAAAACAATATGTGAAATTCCGGACTTTCTCATTGATAACATGTTTGTAAAATTTGGGAGTAAAACATTTGACCAAGAAGAAGGCATACCCATGTTCACCAATTGTGCTCTCCTTCTTGCGGATGTGTTTTTTATGCATATGAATCGGAATTTCTACTTCGGTTGGCGAAAACAAAACAAGGTGATTTGGCAAAGAATTTTAAGTAAAGCTTCAGGTATATCGATGGTCTAATATCGTTCAATAATCCAAAATAGCCAATTCCCTTCACCTGATTTACCATTTGAGTTTGAAAGCACGTAGATAAGGGAGACTACCTTAGCTGTTTCATATTCAGATTTATGCAGATACAGAGTGATAAAAAACTCTATACAAGGCTTTATGAAATAAAGGGCTGATTTCAAGTTTCCAACAGGCAACTTTCCTTTCATGTCGAGCAATATTCCAATAGCTCCAGCCTTTGGTGTTTGCATTTCACAACATTTAAGGTACAATCGAACATGCTCTTTTAACCAAGATTTCAAAGAGCGACATACCACTCTTGCTTAGAAGTATATAGTTCGATCAAAGTTACAACATTCAAGGCCTCAGTAAAGCTTTCAAATAGTTTTATGGTAGACATTTGGAGGACATTTCCAAATTCGGTGCAACAGTGACGAAAATAATGTACAATGCAATTCCTCAGTTTGACCAGTACCATAGGTTCCCGAATTATTTCAGGTGAACAACTAACAAGACATTGCATATGTTTATGACCGGCGCCACCGGTTAGGCAGGATACGCTAACCTTTTCACGAAAGTGTTTTATCACTTCTATTCAAATAGTTACAAGCTGAATAGTTCGTATGACGTATTTGGTATAAATGAGTCACTTCCATCTGAAATGTCTTGTCAGAATGTAAAAACGGAACCTACGGTCACAACTGTAATACAAGCTGCAGCCAAGGATGTTCCAATGAGTGTGACAAGGCCAACGGAAAGTGCAGCTGCAAGCCGGGATACAGGGAAACAAATGTGTCTGGCGTGAGTTACATCAAATATGTCTTATTGGTAACGCTTCAGAAAAGTTCAGTCATAGACACGTTGAGGACCTGTTCATACATGAGACATCAGTGCATAATATGCTACTAAACTCCCTATTTACACTTGTACCATATTGTACACTAGTGCAATATTTCTTTAGGTGAATATTTACATGCCCTTGCATGTGTTTGTGACGGGTGCTACCACCAGTAATGCACACTGCAGTTAAGGATGTTCCACTACCTCCTGTAACAAAATATACGGAGCAGGTAGATGCCGACCCTGATATGTGACATGCATCAGTGTATGTTATCATTTAGCTGTGACCCTATACCACATGAATTCTTATAAGGGATAGTTCTTCAGAAGTTCAGAAACCTTCCAGAGGGATGTAACAATTGAGAGCATGACAGAGATGACGGGCATGTTCTTGCAGCCCGGGTTGGAAAGGAGAAAAATAGCGTCTTCAGCAGAATGTCTGATATAGAAAAAGGAAAATCGACACGATGTATGTTCTATTATGCTTGTAGAATGCGACGAGGGATACTTTGGTGTAAATTGCAAAAGAAGTTGCAGCTTGGGATGTGTGAACTCGTCCTGTACAGGAACTGATGGAGGGTGCAATTGCAGAGCAGGATGGAAAGGACACCGGTGTAACGAAGGTGAGGCAACATGTAGTTGATACATTGTTACCTATTACACTCTTTATTTCTTCACTTGCATCAGTCCGCCGTTGTACTTCCACAAATTCACATCTAGGCCAGAATGTTGTTGATGGTGTCACTACAATACATGTAATTGATCCTTTCCTGTATTACGAATAAAATCTTAACATGGATTGAAAAGGTTAACTGAAAGTTGTCTCCCTTGAACAGACAACTTCGTACATGTATTTCTTGTACCGATGTGCTGATATAAATCTATTAACAAAGACGTTTTTACTGCATTTAACTAATCATCTGAAATTCAGTTCCTTTCATTCATAATTATAGGGCAATTAATCGATATCAACAACTCAATCCATGCTGTTTTTAGTCCAAACCGTTTGAGAGGCACAGATGTCCAAGTCGTCTAAGGCGCGGCAATTAGCTTTGCAGAGTTGTATCCCTTTGGCCACGCCACAAATCTATGATTGTGGAATGGATCCCCGGTTTTCCGGACCAGTGGTTATATTTCTAGGTTTGCCAGCACTATACGTGTGTTTGTGGGATTTAACGAAGATCTAAAACGTGCTATACAAAGGTCTCTCCTCCAACATCAAGCTGTCACACACGGATATAACGTGACCATGTTAAAAGCGGTGTTAAACCTCACTCACTCACGTCTTATGGTGGAGCATTGTTCATTCCCATAGGTACAATATGTTAAGCACCTTAATCTCTGCCTCTTTCACTCACTCCTAACCAATAGCTCCCCGAAACTTCAGAATGTTGACACAAAATACGAAAAAAATACTGCTTACATTATAACTATCCATCATTTACACATTGCATCTGGATAATCTTTCGTTTTGTTAGTTATTTAGATATTTATTTAGTTGTTAAGAAGCATTACATACACACATGTTTACTCTACCACCTAGGTGTATGTTACGTGTGTTTTTTATAAGATAATATCTATTTCAACTAAAACCTTCTCCCACTAGGATCGTCTGAAATATAACGTCAACTTTTTTGTTCTCAAAATGTTACACCCATTTTTCATCTGTCGATTTTAAATACTCAGAATGATCAATCGTTCGACTGACTGATTGATTTTCAGTTCATCATTTCAGGGTTTTTTCGTTCCTTATATAGTTGTCAGTTTTGTAGTCAGATATGTGTCCTTTCCATTATTTTATTACTTACCTACCTATGTAATTATTTGATTAATTCAATCTTCTATCAGCTCATTTAAATAAGGTCACTTCTATATCTATTTAGTCAGTTATCTAGTTTTATATATATTTACCTGGCAGTTAACGTTATAGGAATGTGATTGTTTCATTGTAACAGAGTGTGCAAACGGTACATACGGCGAGAACTGCAGCCTACAGTGCAGCCACGGCTGTCGGTATCCGTGTGACGGTGCCAGTGGACGGTGCAAGTGCAGATTGGAGTGGGAGGGTCCCAAGTGTCTAGACAGTAAGTCCTACATTTCATCATTACTGCCTATGTCAAATATATACGAGGAGTAGGAAGAAACTGAATGCTATCAACACCGACCTGAAATGCAAGGAAATTAATTTGAATATGTTTCTATATACACATCCGTGAATATCCGGGTTAGAATTGGTCTTCAGCAACCCATGCTTGTCATAAGAGGCGACTTACGGGATCGGTTGACCAGGCACGCTGACTTGGTTGTCACATGTGATCGTATCTTATCTTATCGTATGTTCATGCTGTTTATCACTGGATTGTTTGGTTCAGACTCGATAATTTACAGACCGGCGCCACATAGTTTGACTATTACTGAGTGCAGCGTTGAACAACAAACAAACAAACAAACAAACATGCATAATAGGATTTTCATTATTTTGATTAATTTAATTATTAGCATATTATCGGTACACGAAAACATTATATGTCTTTTTTTGGTTTCAGTTGTTTGTGGACTATATTAACGTGTATCGTTCATGCAATATGAGGATATGTTTAATTTCAACAAACTGCACAAGAAAATATATATATCTTAGCGCTCGCCCGACAGGTGATTATTTGAATAGGAATATAAACACGTATGTAAAATTGTTCAATGATGGTAATAGTACATATTGAAAGGGATCTAGGAGTTCAAAAGTATGTTGGAATGAGCCATTCAGATGTCTACTATTTAGATGTATTTTAACTTTACATATAACATCGGAACTTATCAAGCATGTGCACCTTCCTCATTCAGAAATACCGCTACGGAAGACTGACTTTCTAGGGAGCGAGCTGATGTTCCATGTTGTGGCTGCGTTTGCCATACTTGTGATCGTCGTTATGGTAGCAGCGGCCATCTTGTTCCTTAGGTAATGTACACCTGGTCACATGTTTTTTCACAGCTATGTTTCCAAACGGAAGTTGTTTCTGAAGGCAGTTAGGCTGGTTATTCTTTTGCACTGGCGTTCTATACTGTTCCTTTCAAAACCAAATCACGACATCCATTGTACGAAATAATTTCACGTAATGCACGACGGATTTAATTCGCTTGAAAAGGATTTTATTTTTCTGCAAATAGCCATTACTTTGTTATTTCTTATTGTTTCCGCCGCAACGCTTTTAGTAATTCCAGTTGAGGCTATCGTTGTGTTTAGATTAATCATACTATGTGCCAGTGACGACGTCATTGTTGTAATTATTTACGGACATATTTACGTTAACAAGCGACCTAATACGCATTCTTGTGTTTCAGGGATCCGATAATGAGATGGAGAAACGGCCACGGTATTCCTCGATCTTCTTTACGTTATCTTTGCGTATATGTTTCACTGATAGATAATTATTTATTTTGGGGAAATTTTCATATTTTATCATTCTATTATAGGGACTTCCCCAAACCAGGGATTGTACTTGATCAAATTTAGCTTAGATCGCAAAAGCCATCATATATTTGTTTTCTTAAACTTCGAAACGTTAAGTATCATAATAATCAAACAATCGATCGTTGTAAAAAGGCGCAGTGTAAATATTGATGTGCAAGTTTCACAGTTGCACGAAGCATACGTGAAAGACAAGACAGTGTTTAGTTTTGGTAGACATTCTTTCTATCATTTCACCGACATGTATTCCACAGTCCTGACAGATGATCTTGGTTCCGTCGGGTTCCATAGGAACCTATTTACAAGAATAGGACTTTATTCATTACCCCGGTCATTCCATAAAGAAGCCATTAACTCACTCTTTCATATGAAGCTGTCAACGCCGGCGACGTCGGTCCTCCACGTCGTCAAGCCGGTAAGGACGATACCCAGGAAACCAGTCTGAGTACCCGCAGCGGCCCGTCTCCAGTCAAAGACGACCGAAAGGCCACAACATCGGGAGGAGAGCCCAGCAAGAAAGTCTCAATGAGAGGACGTCTCACTCATTTCAAAGAAAAGCGCGTTACTCTGAAGAAATCGTTGATGTTCGAAAATCAGTCGGTAATATAATCCATTTCCGCTTAATTGTAGTGTTATGCTTCTCTGTTTACATGGTGAGTATCTGGCCCTGTGGTTTACGGCGGGTCATTTCGTTGGGCAGCTGGTCGAGCGTTCGAATCATTGATTGGTTATCATTACGTATTATCAGTACCATGCCCCTGGTTGTTTTAACCACGTGGTAGAAACCTGGGATACTTTGATCTAATCTGCCACGTCAAGTTGACAATATGCCCTAATGACCACACCCACGTTAGATCGAACGTATACATGTTAAATGAGGTCAAAGCGACATATACAAGTAAGATGCATATGATATTAAATATCAGGATGTTTTTATTGAGATTCTATAACATGCGTTTATGATACAATCTCTCTAGGAAGACCAAATGCCTGGTGCCAAGGGTGATGACAAGGACAACCCTGAAGGTAATACACCTCCATACTCTAAATCGCTTTACGGTCCTGGGTCCGTTTCACAAAGTTCTCGTAAGCCTTAGATCTCGTAACTTTTCTCGTAGCATTCGTACCTCCTATGTTATAGTATAGGAGATTCGAATGCTACGAGAAAAGTTACGAGATCTCAGGCTTACGAGAGCTTTGTGAAATGAGGCCCTGACTCATAAGAGGTGCCATAAGCAATATCATGGTAGGGTCTTTGACCAAATATAAATTTAGTATATCAACATATGTTTCTCAGTGGATTAACAGTAAATAATATATATATATATATATATATATTAATCTCACTTACTTCCTTTGCAATTTAATCCGATTTACTAATGTATTAAACACACACAAACACAATCATTGTTTTATCGGCATTCAACAAGTTGGTGAGTCAAGGATAAAGCATACGCATAGATAACAATTCTTGTTTATTGTATAGAGCGATGGTGTATATTCTTACACCGTTATCAAGCTGAGAGTAACTACAACCAAGTGAGGAGAAGTATATATACATAGTATGTGGTGACATACATAGATTAACATTAACAACAACATGTAATTGAATAACAAAGTGGTACATACTTGGTTGAGGCAAGGTGAAGAGTATGCTTATTGGCTTCATGGCCCGCGCCATTTTGCTATTCTTACTTACCCCCTGGAAAGGGTAGGTTGGTTTGTTGTTTAACACCGCGCTCAGCAATATTCCAGCTATATGGCGGCGGTCTGTAAATAATCGAGTCTGGACCAGAAAATCCAGTGATCAACAGCATGAGAATCGATCTACACAATTTGGATACAATGACATGTGTCTGACCTCCCGATCCCGTTAGTGGACTGTTAAATAATCATGGGTTACTGGAGACAATTTTAACCCGGATCTCTTCGGGTATGGAATAGGTTATTTGAGGTTAAACAGGTTTAATCAGTGACTGCATGCTGTTCTCATTGAAAAAGTACCTGTGTGAGAATCATGTGCGCAAACATCAAAATTAACATGCAAGTGCGAACTGTAAAATGATGACCTTCGAGGAGATGTCTTCATGAATATGTATTAACACATGCCTTATTGAAGTTCAGAAATTAATTTTTGTCCGCAGCACAGTTACCTGTTCCGTATGTTTAGTATAATTTCTGTCATTTCTCGCAGGAACACCCACTCCCCGAGATGAGGCGTTGTTCGCGGAGAACAACATCTGTGATTCTGCATCTCGGATTGCTGTCAAGGATTTTCATACCTATCTTGCTCAGAAGAAATCCCAGAAAACCACTTTCGACAAAGAATACAGCGTATGATTCCGTTGATATGATCCAATTATTTCCAAATTGACAGATTGGTTATAATCACCGTCAGCAGCACACCCGTTCTCGTGGGTTTCTCGAAATGTACTCGTCTCCAGCAATGGAAATATTCCTGATGTATTACTAATCCACATTAACAGCCTCCTATTAGGACCTTCTGTGCCTATAAACGTCCCTATGAACTTATTATAACAATCTGGGCCTAGATTTTCGAAGCTCTCTTAGCGCTAAGATAGTCGTAAGGTAATGTTAATGTATGGCACTTACGATTATCTTAGCGCTAAGAGAGCTTCGAAAATCTAGGCCCTGGACCGGAGCATCGCTAAACAACATGATGAATTATTGCAGAAATACCCGTTAACATCCCTTTCGGCTTTCGCATTCCAAACTCCATTCTGTCAAGATAACGTCCTTTCCAGGGTTCCCCTGTGACTGCTTTGACGGCGTCATTACGACAACGGCGACTTAATAAACACTAAACACTAATAAACAGGCGGGCAGTGTGTAACAGAATGAGCAACCATCCACGCCATTGAGATACGGTGGTGGTACAAAATAAAACTCATACCTCAAATGTACGGTTGGCTTCTCTGATATTCACAGGCACTAAGGTCCAATTCCTTCTTGGATCTGTAGGTGCTATATTCCATAGTGAAGAATACACTACCTACCTGTGTGGATTTTTCTGACTGTATATTTCAGGAGTTTCCGCAAGGGCTCTCTGCCTCTCATGATGTTGCGCTTTCTCTTGGAAACAATGCCAAGAACAGGTTCAAGGGAATATATCCATGTACGTATACCTTTGAATTCAATCTAAATATTGCAGTAGTTTGAGAAACAATTATGGGACTATTGACACCCAAGCACGTTTACACGTACTACGGCTATTTATCGATATAGATAATTGAGATTGATAATCGTTAATCATTATCGATCGATTATCGATAATGATCGGAGACGTAACTTTGAGCAACAGTCTGAAAAATATGAATATATTTCACATCACTCATGTGTATGTTGTGTGAGAAAATTAATTAATGACAATTTGTCCTGTCCACGATATTTTCGATTATCGATCATTTGAGCCAGATAGCTTTGAATATTTTTTTTTTTTTTTTTTTTTTTTATTTATTAATTTTTTTTTACATTTTTTATTCATTCAGGATCAGTAGATACAGATATACAAAGTACATGATGTAACAGCACACCGTAAAACAGATATTCATATGGGTTGGCATATGGGTTTGAATATTATTGAACTTTATGCATAGTCCGTACATGGGATACATGCAACACAAATACTGTCACAAAGGATAATCTTCCACCCTCTTCGAATTATTACATGTATGACCGGGCTTGGGGAGCCTATTGGTTAAAGCGTTCACTCGCCACGCCTAAGGCCCGGGTTCGGTTCCCCACATGGTACAATGTGTGAAGCCCATTTCTGGTGTCCCCCAGTCGTGATATTACTAGAATATTGCTAATAGCGGAGTAAAAATAATCTCATTCATACATGTATGTATGACCGAATGAAACACTTATGTTCCAGATGACCACAGTCGAGTATGCTTGAAAACCAAGACCTTCAAGGGAGGATACATCAACGCCAGTTACATTAATGTAAGTTCTCTCTACTGACAAATGATAAATAATTGTACCAAAATGTAATAAAGTAACCGACTAATCGCGTATGGACAACTTATATGCAGCTTGGCAAATATTTTAAGAATTGTAAAAAACAAGATGATAAATATGATTTATGAAAAATATGTAAATGCTTCAATTATTGATTAATCAAGAATTATATCATTACTATCTGATTTTACACAGGGTCCGTCAAACAAACGACAGTACATCGCCACTCAAGGTTGGTGAATAATTCATATACACTCACTAAATGTATCCACCAATCAGAAATTGGTTTGGAAGAATTACATCCAGAAAAATGTTTTACAACATGTACACGTGAGAGTATATCTGTCATATACTGAAGCTATAACCGACGGCTGCTAATATAGGTGTTGTTGATTGTATTTGCAGGCCCACTACCCAACACTGTGGCTGACTTCTGGCAGATGGTATGGGAGAACCAATGTCCTGTTATTGTCATGCTGGCCAACATCATAGAGGACCAGAAGGTGACCTGATCACATAAGTTAAAACGACAAATTACTTTCCATGATCATACTAGAGCTGATCATACTTGTGACACATTTGTGCACATGCCTATACTCAAGGTTGAAGGTTTGTGTTGCAGGAGCGATGTCACCAGTACTGGAATGATAAGGGTGTTTGTGAATTTGGAGATTGGAGTGTCACCTGTCTGGACATCTGCCAGCTGGCGGATCTCACCATCAGGACCCTAAGTGTACAGAAAAACAGCGTTTCTAAGCAAGTGAAGCACATACATTTCACTGTATGGCCTGACAAAGGCGTCCCGAAGTACCCCATGTCGCTTGTGACGTTGCGAACCATAGCTCGAGAATTCTGTGATTTCGACAAAGGGCCAATGGTAGTTCATTGCAGGTAGGTCACAGGGGATATCATGGTCTTTTCAAATCTTTTTATTCTCTTGATCTCTTTATTTGTAAAAGGACATTCATTTAGCTCCTATATACTGATGTTCCTCTAAAGTCTTTCTATGCACGTTGGATGAGATGACATGTGGTAGCCTTCTGAAACACACTACCCGAGCGTGTCAGTCGTTTTTATATCCCATTGATGCCAAGCGCAAGAAATGTAATAACAAGTAGCATCTTGTGCAAAGGATCGAACCACCTTTCTTCTCTCCCGACAGACGCTGTATCCACTCGACCACGAAGACCCATCTGCACATACTAACATTTTCATTTGTTTCCAAATGAATTATCGAGTTCCGTCCCCTGGCTCAAATTCAAGATTCACTTTATGTTTCGTTTTTATGTCTGTTAGCACTGCATCTACGCTTGGTCGACCTACAGGTATTTTTTGTGAAATATCGGGAACCTGTACTGTTAGCACCATAGTAACGTTACTCTCTCGCTGTCCTTGTCTAGTGCTGGAGTAGGACGCACTGGGACACTGATTGCCCTAGACTATCTGCAACAGGAAGCAGAAACCCAGGGAAGTGTCGACGTGTACGCATGCGTGTGGAAACTAAGGACGCAGAGGCTGAAGATGGTCCAAACCAAGGTAATGATTGGCAGATCTACCGAAAGATTAAACTTTCGTAATTCATGCTAGTACAAGAATGACATGCACACTGAAACCTTCTGTAATTTCTACATGAATTCTTTCCTGAACAGATTAGAAAGAATTTAAAAGTATAACCTGTTCACACTGTAACATAACTTTCAGGCAACTTTAGAATGGACATGCATACTTCTCGTGAACAAGTGAGGTCACTATGGATTTTCAAGGATCCATACAATAATTTTCACCTCCCTTTACCCTTTACGTCCCACGGAATTTGTTTCGTTGAGACTGGTTATTCTCAGGACATTTTGTAGGTACATTTTTTACCACAAGGATCATCGACTGACCATTTATTGTGATGTGCTAGTGACGACGCGAAATGGTAGTACTTAACATCAGTAATTGTATGTAATGTGTCGTTTAGGACCAGTACGTGTTTCTACACGACTGTGTGCTGGAAGCTTTAGAGTACACGACGCCGACAGTGACAACAGCGGAGGTTGGCAAGGTTTACAAGAAGAAACTGGAAGACACAGACGGGGACGATAGCCTTCCAGCAAGATTTAAGGTTTGTGTTACTTATAAATGAATACATTTCATAAAAAAGCAAGAGAATGTTATTGATATAATGGCACCATGAAAGTGGTAATGTTCTTCGACTATCACACTAGTGTGGCCAAGAATGGACTGGAGATACATGGAACGATGATAGTTAAAGTGTTTGCTTGCTGCACTTAGCAATATTCCCTATATGACGTCGGTCCCAACACAGTCGATTCTGGACTAGACAGTAAAGTGGTTGACATCATGGCCATCGACCTATGGATCTATCGTTGCCGTAACACGCGTCAATGTATACAGTATTGATGTATGTAAATGTAAATGCATGTATGTAAATGTAAATGCATATATGTAAATGCGAATCGTACAACTCACCGCTATGTGCTAAGAGTCCTGTGGTGCAATCCGCCCCCTGGCCAATGTCTAGACACACTCCTATCTCCACACCCTTGTCAGGCCAGGACGGATGACTTCTCTTCTTGTTTTGTTTCAGAAACTTAACAGCTGCCCAACGCCGGACGCCAATGCAACTGTGGCCCGTTATGCTGAGAATATTCAGAAAAATAGGAGACAATCAGTATACCCAGGTATTATATTTATACGTATATTCAACTTCCAAAATCAGTGTATCTAACGTTATAATCATGGGTTGTATGTTACAGCTTGTATATGTTAAGAAGAAGAACAAGTATTATGGATTGACAACTTCTTTATCTCAGTTGATGCGACGCTTCGGTGTATAAGCTAACACCGCTTTTAAAGAAATGATACCCAACACTATGCACAAAGAGAATTTAGAGTTTGTTTCTTCTACACAGATATCTGATGTTAGTTGATTCTCATGGTTAGGGGCGGGACGTACGTACGAGTCTGATTAGGATTGGGTGTGGTAGACATCTCCTCTGGTGGTTGAAGCTGGTTCACCGAAGGCTTGAAGAATGTTCTGACTTTTCCACTCTGGAACACAGGATCTATATTTGCTCGTTTCTTTAGTAGTCTGCGGATATGTTAGATGGTTGCATCGATGGCTGTAGGATTTTGTTAACGAGGTTGGGATGACACTGATTAAAGTTTGTAACGACGTGACGAAGGTGTTCTAACTCGGCTTAGAGTGTTTGAGCTGAGTTTCTATAATGACAATAAATATCAACAATGTAATCACACTGAACATTAAGCAGATGTACCAGCTTCTAAATGCCAAGAAGTTATGTACATGTTAAGTGCATGGCAAAAGACAGTATAAACCGATTAAGTTTGATGAAGATAGTCTTCTTGGATAAGTCCATTTTCAAGTTTATTCTTTCCTTTGCTCGACAGTTTTTATATGAATCGCTCTTTTACCATAGTGCATTTGCGACATGATTCTCAGAAATGTATGTCTTTGCCAGATGACAGTGAGCGACCTGTCCTCACGACTGAAGTAGAAGGCCAGACCGATTACATCAATGCTGTTTTCGTGTCGGTAATACTGTTTTACATATCTGATCTCTTCAATCCAGCTTCACTTGATAACGTTTAATTGAGAAGCTGACTGACATACAGACCAATTAGGCAGTGTATTTAAACGGGAGGTCTAACCAGGAGTCGAATCACCACCACCAACACCACGTGATTTTATATCAGTTGACGAAGGGACCAAACGTCAATTTCTGGTAGTTCGAAACAAGAATCGTGTAGTCCTATTGTCAGTAGGCCGTCAGGTATATTTTGCCTGAACGTTGTTAGAACTTGGAACATCAGGAAATGATTTATGCTTATCTTAGCCAAATTCGTATGATGTCCTGTTTAATCCGGACACTCTTTTCCCTTCTGGCCAAGTGGTAAAAGTGTTCGCTCGTCACTCTAAAGATCCGGGTTCGATTCCCCATATGTGTACGATGGATGAAGACCATTATTGGTTTCCTCGCCGTGATATTGCTGGAATATTGCTAAAAGCGGCGTAAAACCAAATATCAGCATAGGTATTCGCTATACCTATCTTCCAAATTTGACGCATCAGTGACCGATGCCCTTCCCTGTTTTCACACAAATGTTCCACTGTTTGGTTAGGGAAAGATTTGACTTAATAAATGAGGTGTCACTAGCGAAGCAGGATGCGCTCATCTGTCCGGGAACACATGATATTATCACTGAAATTATTCCTAACCACACCCTTGTTATATAGGTGCAATCGGCCAGTGGAGCATGCATTTGAAAGATATTTCATATGACTATGGATAAGATTTTGTCCATTTTGTTCCAGAAATTGTGATGCAACAGATAGTGTTATCAGAGGAGATTGAATTAAATTTTGTTTTTACAGGTAATGTATACAGTTAAACTATAAATGTAATTTTAGATTTCAAAACAAAGTAATGTTTGATAAATGTTTGAGCTTTGATTTAATCTTTGTTCTTGTATGTTTTTGGCTATATTTCTAGTCCTACAAGAAGCAACGTGGGTTCCTCCTGACCCAGACACCACTGGCATCTACAGCTGTCGACATCTGGCGTCTCATCCATGATTACCGCGTTTCAGGCATTGTAGTGCTGGATAATTACACAGAGGATACATCGGTACGGGCTTGGGGTGGATGGATATATTGTCAGTAATTGTTAGCGATGCCTATGATACAGATGGAATGGCACAGTAGACTCTGTTTTTACCATATATTTCTTATGATTGGGGAAAGGATTTTATCTCATATTCACGATATGACAGATCCCCTGCATGGCCTAGTGGATAGAGCGTGTACTCTGCGAGCGTAGGGTTAAGGGTTCGATACACAGTCGCGACGTTGGTACATGTTATGACTGAACGTTTTGGATCAGTGTGTTGTGTCTGAGCTTTGTGTGTGTTGATCTGTAACATAATATCTCAGTCGACAAGCTTAATATAACCGGTATTAAACCGAACTGGTATAATCCGGACACTTGAGATAAAGGTGCAATAACTCCTTGAACCCCACTTCACTGATCAGATCACACAAATTGCATTTCTTGTTTCTCAGCGCGGTTGTCATTTAGAACTCTTGTGTCCATTGTCTTACACCTAATCACAGGGAATATTAGTAGACTGTGGTTTTTACCATATATTTCTTATGATTGGGGAAAGGATTTTATCTCATATTCACGATATGACAGATCCCCTGCATGGCCTAGTGGATAGAGCGTGTACTCTGCGAGCATAGGGTTAAGGGTTCGATATACAGTCGCGACGTTGGTACATGTTATGACTGAACGTTTTGGATCAGTGTGTTGTGTCTGAGCTTTGTGTGTGTTGATCTGTAACATAATATCTCAGTCGACAAGCTTAATATAACCGGTATTAAAGCGAACTGGTATAATCCGGACACTTGAGATAAAGGTGCAATAACTCCTTGAACCCTACTTCACTGATCAGATCACACAAATTGCATTTCTTGTTTCTCAGCGCGGTTATGTCATTTAGAACTCTTGTGTCCATTGTCTTACACCTAATCACAGGGAATATCGAACACCTGGACATTCTACCTCAGGTATTAATACCATATGATGTGTTACAGGACGATTGTGCGGTGTATTGGGCTGAAGCGGACAAGCCAAGGCAGTATGGGCCCTTTACTGTATCTTTCATAAGGCTTCAAAACCATCCTGGATTCAGAACGGAGCTTTACAAATACACAATGAAGGTAACGGCTTTAAAAGATGATAATACATGATACAGCGTTTGAGTGAGTGAGTTGGGTTTTACTCCGATTTTAGCAATATTCTGGCGGTTGGACAGGATACCAAAAACTGAAGTATCTATACTGTGGAATCACAGACAACTTGTACCCCTTACCACACATCAAGATCCAGACCCTTCTGGTCAACCGTTACAACTGCATTGTGCAGAAGGTGAAACGAATAGTTCCAGTAGGCATATCAGTAAATTCCGTGTTCATGATCGTCACATTTCGAACATCTGTAAATTTAGTTTGAGTATGCCTGCGTTTCTTTAATCTCCCTGAATTATGCAAAAGGAGACAATTAAGATGACTACACAAATATAACCTTTCGTAAAACTTGCAACTTCTCTTGCAGGGTACAAATGAATCAAGGGAGATAACTCTGTTCAGAGCAGATTCTTGGAACTCGTCCGATCTCCCGACTAGCTCTGTTCACTTTCTGACTCTGCTGGATTACATTAGACAGTGGAACCCCAGCACGGCCCCTCTCCTGGTGCAGTGCAGGTAAACATTGGTGCAACAACAGGGCGTGTTCAGTGTGGGTGAAACAGGTTGTTAGAAAGCGATCAAGTCCTGTGTCAGGTGTAGGTAAAGAACACGGTCCTGTCCAGGGTCAATACAGGTTGACACTGTGTTAGAACACTTCCCTGTCCAGAGTCAGCGAAGGTAGACATTGTGTTAGAACACGGTTCTGTCCTTTGTCAATGCAGGTAGACATTGTGTTAGAACAATGTGCAGGTAACTTAAAGGTTGCGTCATGTTACGCCAGTGACGATTTTCCTCCGTAACAGATTCCGTTAGGCGTTAAAACAAAAAAAAGCATTCTTTCCCGGCTTAGTGTGTGGCTGTCCGAGTAATAGAAACATTAAGATTTTACAGAAACGTGTTACAAATGTTCTCAATCCTCTTCACCCGTGGTGATCCGGGTTCGAATTGGTCTACAGGTACCCAGGCATATCATTAAAGGCAACTGACAGGATTAGGTGGTCGAGCTATCTGACTTGGATGATGCATGTCGTCATAACCCAATTTGCGAAGATCGATGCTCACATTGTCAATCACCGAATGGTCTAGTCCAAACTGATTTTTAAACCGATTATTTAAAGATAGCTAGGTTATTGCTGTGTGCGTAGTTAAACAAAACACACAACTCCAAACTTCACAATGCACATCGTTTTTTAATGTTGTCCAGGGATGGAGCAACTCGATCCGGGCTGTTCTGTGTGGTCAGCACTGTACAGGAGCAGATCCTCACCTCCCAGCGTGTGTCAGTTGACCAGGCCATCAGAACCACTCGCAGTGTCCGCCCCCAGGTCATCCCAACCATGGTAATAGATTCCACTTACAGAACTCACACGTGTGTCAGAGAGAGAGTGAGTTTAGTTTATAAGTGGCTTTCAGCAATATCCATCAATATCATGACGGGTGACACCAGAAATGGGCTTCACAGTTTCTGGAATCGAACCCGGGTCTTCGGCGTGACGAGCGAACGCTTTAACCACTATGGTACAGTATAGAGTATCCAAAGTGGTAGGGTATCCTAAGGGATGGTTATCCTAATGGATGTGTATCTCTGATATGCAAGACAATATGTATCAAATTATGTCTCTTTGCAATGAGAGGTATCACCGGCCCTGGCGTTCATCAACGCTGTTCCATTCCAAGCGGTCTGGATCAAGAGAAAATAGTTTCTACATGAAATGAAAATTAAGGAGCAACTTATCTATTATATTAATATATTGCGTAAAAATACATCGCGCACTTTTACATAATTATGAGCGGTGTTCTGTTTATTTTAAAGGTTTTGTACCCATGTAGCTTGTAATTTCCATGTGAGTGTTCTTGTTCGTGTTCTAATTATATACTGCTCAAGAGAACAACTCATTACATATTAACCCGTGAAGATCCGTGTTAGAATTGATCTTCAGTAACCCATGTTTGTCGTAAGAGGCGACTTATAGGATCGGGTGGTTAGGCTCGCTGACTTGGTTGACACATGTCATCGGTTCCCAATTGCGCATATCGATGCTTATGCAGTTGGTCACTAGATTGTCTTGTCCAGACTCGATTATCTACAGACCGCCGCCATATAGCTGGAATATTGCTGAGTGCGACGTAAAACTAAACTCACTCACTCACTCATTATAGATTAATGATAGTAGAGGAAGATTTCTGAAATTCTTTTGAGTAGTATATTTGTGCGCGTTACAGATGCTGGGAGAATATAATTATATCATACCTTTTCTCACATCCTTAGACTGCACAATACCTAGTGGCTGCAGAGAGGCACATCATTTGAAAGGTTTCTTACACATCACCTAACACAAATTTCTTATTTTGGGGAACAAATCTATAACATATATATTTTGTTTTCAGGAACAATACAGATTCTGCCATGCCATTGCGATGGAGTACCTGAGTGGACCTTGGAAGGGAATATAGCATATTTTGTTATAGATTTGTTATGCTGCCGCAAGGTGAATGCCATAAACATGGCTATTTACAGCGATGACTTCTTCAAACTACACGGCTTTGTTTGAATTACTTCTATTTAAGTTACGTTTGTTGTAGTAACACATGTATTACCGTTCAGCTTTTTTTATTTTTATGGCAATGTTTGATACAGGTTCACTTATGACTATACAATTATACAATAAAATGCGAAACATTTAGATAGACTATAAGAATAGATAATGATATCAAGAACATTTCATCATCGAAAAACTGTCTAATTACTGAAGGCGGAGTGCAATATTTCCCATCGGAATGAATTATTAGAATTATTTTGAATGACAATTGCTTCAACCACACAAGATTCCTTCAACATAGACACCTCTAACTTCAAAGTGTTCCTCGATGTACATGACAGGAGTTCATAATATTTGTTGTTTTTCTTTAATTCAATTATTTTATTCTTTTTATGTTTTTGTTTACCCATATTTAATCTTCACATTTAATGTGTTAATATCTAAATACAAGAGGTGTTTGTGGGCTTGTTTTGTTGTACATAGTTAATGATTCTTTTGTTTGTTTCTATTTCAAGCCATCTTTATCAATTTTATTCTTATTCTTTGTTAATGGTTCACCTTATACTTATTATTTAACCCTTTTAGATAGTACATTATATTACATTCCATGTAACAATGTATATATGGTCGGCTGTTAGATCGACTTTTTGGCACTGTTCACGACTATAACCTAAAGATGTGGAAAATTCCGCACATATACTCATGCCAATAATGGTTGTCACCCCCTTCAAGTTTTCTAATTGGAGAGGGGCTTTGGGGTGTGAGGTGTGTGGGGGTGGGGAGGGGGTGACAACCATTATTGGCATGAGTATATATTGTTGATAGCATATGAACATGAAATTCCAACTCTTTCGATGCCGATGAAAGTGAAAACTTTTTGTAATATTTATCAAATATTTCTTTTGTTTTCTTAATAAATAGATAATAATTGTTTTTATGGATTTGTTCATTTTTTTGCACGGGGAGAATTACATGCGTATTACACGCGATTAAAGATTATCAGGGGTCAGTTGCTTTGTCTGACTTTCTTCCCCCTGAACATTGATCTGTGACATGGTCATGCATCACAATGCATAAGGGATTAGTAGCCCAGTGGTTAAAGCGTTCGCTCGTCACGCCGAAGACCCGGGTTCGATACCCTACATGAGTACGATATGTGAAGCCCTTTTCTGGGGTCCCCCGACGTGATATTACAGTTAAAAGCGGCATGAAACTTAATTCAATCACATTCGAGGTTCCATACGTTGGGCAGGATATTTGACTTCACCACTATTTGATATATTTTAATAAACACTTACTTATGATCTCGAACAAAGGGTATGTTTCGTATGATTACGGGAATGTTTTGGCGTTTGTATTTATTGGCCAGGATCGACCCAGTTGTGTTTGCAATTGTGGCTGATGGACAGAGCTGACCCGACACATGCATCAACTGTTATATGACAATGTAAATCTCCAGAAAAATCTTAACGTCATGAGCCAATACTTCCTTGGCAAGATTTTTATGTGGTAAAATGTACAAAAAAAATTGTCTATAATATTGTTTAAGAAACACGTCACATTTTAATTCTGGAAACTCAGTTGTCCAGCGACTCTCCGCACTCTGGCCAGGTGCTGACAAAAAAGATGAACATGCTGTTATCATGGATCACAGGCAAACTGTAGCGCAAATATATTCGAGCAAAGGTTGGCAACGTAAAATATTTTCAATGTCAAAATAAGATATCGCCACCATTACTGCTGCCAGCTTCCGGTTCAACTCAGGAACAGCTATGCTATGTTTGATCTTCTTCCTCATTAACACTTACCCTGGATGTTAACACTGTATGTGGTGCAAGTGAATTCAACGCATTGTCAAGTAGTGTTTGTTGACTTCGGGTGGGTGGGGGTGGCTGAGTGTGCATGTGAGTGTGACTGTGCGTGTGCATAATCTGGACACTATACAGAGGACATCACGATTATAACATGTATCCGTACAAGGAAGTATGTCAAGACTAGAGAGTGCATGTGAACCGAAGGTCATAAACACAATCAAATTGTACAAAATTTCCTTTGTCATTTAGGAAATAGTCTTAAAGCAAGTCATGACCTATACAGTCTGTGTTTGTAAATGTTTACAAATAAAATATCTGCTACAAGCAGAGTTGATTCATGTATCATCGCATAATGAGCTTGCGTCTGTGATTCACAATCAAATATTGACAGTAACTGTTTCATCGGCATTCAAGACGTTGGCGAGTCAAAATGAAACCTATAACTTTATGGATAACAATAAACACGATGTTGTCATCCATAAAGTATGTTTTAAATATTGACAGTACCAGGTATTTGCAGAGTTCCTCGGATCCTGACACACTCGTGCCAGTCATCACAAACACATGCAAACACACGTCAATTGTTCACCTTAAAACACAAAAAACATCTAAGACGAGCATCGCTTTTGTTTTTGTTTTCTCAAAAAGGGACACAATTTGATTTTACTGAGATACTGTTCAGAGCGGCGTTAACACAACAAACCCAGTAACTCATGCATCAAATACGTCATGGAAAGTAGGAAGTTGTGAGTTATAGAATACACTCAAAATATTTCCTGTACGAATTCAATTACCAGTCTTACAAATACCCTTCGCTGAGAGGCACGAACGAACACGGTATGCCACTTATATATCATTTTAACAAAATGTTTAATTACTTTTGTAAGAACTTGTGTTAATGTTAATAGTTAACAGGAAAGCTATATATATTCTTGAGTACATCGGTATTCTAACACTCATGGGTGAAAACGTGCGAAACTTTTAAAAACCAATGATCTAGATAAGTCAGTCTGGGACCAAGGCAGTTTTAATATTTGATTACACCAAGTAAATGCGGACATGCACTCTATAAATCAGTATTGTAGACTCCCGACAGAAGCTGTCATCGATAACCAACGAGATAAGCAGACACCAGTGGTAAATCTCTGCAAATGCATGTAGCGAAGCTTGACCGCTGATATGGTTGCTAGACACCGCTCTGCCGTGGGTTTGAACCCTAGATTGTGCCTAGATGAGAAGCGAGGTCTATCAATAATCGCGTGTATCTCAGCAAAGTACCATCATCTAATGTGTGCTAATAAGTATCTGGGCCCCCTTACACAAAGCTCTCGTAAGTCTAAGATCTCGTAACTTTTCTCGTAGCATTCGCACCTCCTATACTGTAACACAGACTTACGACAGTCATAGCGCTACGATAGTTTTGTGAAAAGGGGCCCTAGTATGACTAAAACACGGTTCGAAAAAGCGTAAAATTGAAGTAGCTGACTCATATTTTAATGGTACTATCAAATTATAATTTTCTTTTTCAGATGGACGTGAATGCAGCTCTCCTAATTGCAAATCTTGCTGTATGGCCCGTCATCGTGGTAACAGTGTTGACAATGATCTTAGGCGGTTGTTTAAGGTAACAATGTTTGTTCAGTAGAACGACTGCTTGTGAACTGAAATTTCACCAATATTTCAAGTTGTGTGATTCGTTGATGAATATATCACTCTTTCGTTAGCTTGTAGTCATACAGCGATGAAAATATATCAAGGAAGAATAGAAACTAGCTGAGTTGAGTTTTACGTTACATCATCATTATCTCAGCCATATAGCTACGAGACCAAGGGCTCCTTTCACGAAGCAACCTTTACTAAGGTTCACCTTAACTCCCATTCTGTAACATTGCACAAAGGTTACTTTAGTGACTTACTCACCTTAGTGCTTTGTGAAAGGAGGCCCAAGTCTGCATACATTTTAAGTACTAAGCTAAAATGACCTGGCTTTTAAAAACATATTTATTCATTACATTATTATTTACAAATAAAAACGTCATAGCACACATACAATAAACAAGCAATCCGTCATTCACATTGCATAGCTCCAATTTATGATACCGATCAATCTCTCTCAAGTTGTTCACAATGAGATGCCCGCTCATGCGGAATAGAAAATAAGGCAATCATGTTTACTCCTGTGTTCAATATGTAGGTTTCTGACGTATTATTGTTTATACTGCATTACTATATATAACAAACCGACCGGTTTACCGGGCCTTACAAACCTATATTAGCTGAAAAAGATTGTCTTTGAGATCAAAGTTCAAGCCGATAACTCATACCCCGGTTCATCGAAACAAAGTATACTCAAATCTGAGCTTCATCTCAAGTCTTAGTTTTTATTCTTAGATTTACGCACTTCCCGAAATGTCTTGAACTCGATGCTAAGCTAAAACTGCGTTAACACGTGGTATTTGGTAGGTTGGTTACTTGGTAACTTAACTTGGAGTTGTTGTTTTTATCGCAACCAGGTTATAAATTCAGCTGAGTTAAAATCTCAATTGCTGCCCAAAATCTTGGATGGGTAAGAAAATTATTACATAAATCAAATAGATGGGATTATCTTTTCTTAGAAAGATAACATGTGAAATTTACCAATGGTCTGCAGATAGTAATTGTATTAAAAATGTTGTTACTCCAACCTTTACTAATCAGTTTTGGAAGGATGTGTTACTTGCTTGGACTTGGTTTATATCTAAGCAAAAAGATCCTATTACAAGTGAACTTGAAGTCCAGTCACAGTCTATCTGGTGTAATGATGACATATTGATTGATAACAAACCTATTCTGTATAAATATTGGTATAACAAGGGAGTTGTGTTTGTATCTGAGATGCTGACAGCAGAAGGGAAATTTCTATCCTTTGATGACTTTAGAGATCTATATAAACTCAGAACTAATTTCCTCACCTTTGAAGGGGTCAAACAAGCAATCAGTACATACATGTTCAAGGTAAATATTCCAGATTTTACAACTCTGAGCATTAAACCGACATACCCTTTTAATTTGTCTAAACTAAGATGCAGTGAAAAAAGTAGCAAATATTTCTATGAAACACTCCTATTCTCTATATTTAAAACAGAACACTATAATAAAAACTGGGATAGCTTGAATATAAATCTCCTACCAAAGGACTGGGAAATATGTAATATTATCCCATGGAAGTGCACATATAGCACTGATCTAAGATGGTTACAATACAGAATTATCCATAATATTGTACCTACAAAACAGTTTTTGTTTAAGATCCAGTATATAGACTCTCCCATTTGTAGTTTTTGTAAATATAACATTGATTCAGTTACCCATCTGTTATGGGACTGTGATATTGTTCAAGATATCTGGAAAAACCTCCAGTCGTGGCTCCTAACTGACTTGAATATCCCATTACATTCCACAAAACAGAAAATTTTGCTTGGAATCAATGGAATAAATAATAATCCAGTTAATGCCCTAATACTTGTTGTGAAGCAAGTTATCTTTAGACACAGCAGAAATTCAACTGTACCCTTTATCAGTCATGTGAAAGAGAGATAATTAAGTATTATGACATTACAAAATATGTTTATTCCTCTTCTTGTGGTGTTGACAAATTGTTCCCCTTTTGGTCATCTCTTCCAGCGCTATAAGTAGAGGGATGAATAATTTTGTCTGTTATCCTTATTTGATATAGATACAATGCATACCCCCACCCACTCCCCTCCACACATACATACATACATACATACATACATACATACATACATACATACATACATACATACATACATACATACATACACACACACGTACATACACACAACCATACGTACGTACATACATACATACATACATACATACATACATACATACATACAGACAGACAGACAGACAGACACACGTACATACACACAACACATACGTACATACATACATACACACACACGTACATACACACAACCATACGTACGTACATACACATACATACATACATACATACATACATACATACATACATACATACATACATACATACATACATACATACATACATACATACATACATACATACATACATACATACATACATACATACATACATACATACATACATACATACATACATACAACATTCATACATACGTACATACATATGTACACACACACGCAGACTATGAAGTTACAATGCTATGTGATGACATTTACAGACTTTTTCTCTGGAAAATCATTACATGTATATCAGCACAATTAGCACAATTGTACCTGTCAATGTCACCTATTGACTACAACGGTAAATAAAAATATATAAAAATCTTAATCTCTGTCTGAAATGTGAGTAAAAACTGTTTCGAGAAATCGGACAGATAGTTTTGTGGGAAGCGAAAGTAACGAAACTGAACCTTTGCATTACAGAATGGCTTATCGATGCTGTTTTCAAAAGTCAACGCGACATTACATGGTGCAATTGAAGGATTATGGACGGGTAAACAGAGACCAAGAACACAGATTACAAAATGATGATGATGAAGTTGACGAAAAACTGACGTGCGATAAGAATGACCAAAGGGCAAGTGATACAACCAACCATGACAGTGATGTAATAGACATAGACCGGTTACAGTTACGCGTTACAAGCTATTCCTCTGAAGATGAAAGTCTGACTAATGACACGATGACGGAAGATCAGACAGAGACGAAGTTTGAGAACACACAGCACGTTACTGAACTTGAAACTACAACAGAACCAGTGTACCCCAAATCTAATTCAACCGCTGATGGACGTGATGGCGGTGGGCCTGATGCAAGGAAAGATAGGCCCCTTCACCCAATTCCTACTCCAAGGTTGAAAAGCAGTTCCTCAAGCGAACAAACAAGAGAACGCACCAACGCATCCTCAGAAGCGATATTGGCACAAATGGCAGATAGGTTCGAGAACCTTGATAAGGACGACGTATTTCCATCGATGCTTGCTACTCGTACGAAAACGTTACCACCATCTGTATCCAAGGCCTCTAACGACACGAAACCCTCTTTGGGGCCACCACCTCTCCCAACGACGCTGCCAAACTGGACTCGAAGAGGCAGGAAGCCTCCAGGAAATGCCTTACAAATGGAGAAGGCAGGGGCTGAAGAACTGCATGGAGATATTGGAGAGGAACTAATGGAGAAGGCGTCAAATACCAAGAGAAAACCAACACCACCGAAAACTGTACCGCTGATGCCACTAGCAAAGTGTCCAATGGAGAAGGAATGCCAGACTATATCTGTCCGAAAAAACTCCGTGAATAGGAGACCAACTGCACCTCCCCCATCAGTACCAAACCTTGCAGGAAAGAATCACTTTGAGATTACAGAATGCAGCTCATCCGGTGCGGAGGGTGGAGGTGCAATCTCGCGAGAAGAGCCTACAAATGCATATGATGAAATATGCGATGAACAATTACATGGTGCTGACGCTGTCATAAATCATTATGATGCCATAGAAGACCACTTGTATGACTGTATCGATGATATGCCACGATGCAGACGTAGCGGTCATAGGCCAAACCTAGCCAGACAGAAGGATGTGTTTAGAACTGAAGGACTTGATGATACAGAAGTTGTTAATCCTTTCTATGCGGGGAGATTGGAAAGGTCATTTAAAAGAAAGATGAAAGGTCAAGAGAATAACCCATATGCTTCATTTATAGTAGAAGATAAGGCTGATCCAGGAAATGAACAGAAAACATCCAGCCCAGATCAACGGATGAATCCTCGCGGACATATCAGCCCAAAGCATCAGGTTGATGCAATGGCTTTTAAAGCAGAGCCATTTCGAATTTCTCTGGATTCTGGTTATCTGACCGCTATTGCAACTCATCCCTACAACCTCCATGTGTCTGGATACAAGAGAGAGACATCCAAAGAAGGATCATCTGAAACTGATCGGCCTGGGAATGAACCAACCAGTGTAGAACCTGACGACATACCACTGAATGATCAAGGTACCCACTACGTGAACGAATGTATGGATGTAGATAAGGCACCTACACATCCACCATTAGCTGCCAAAGTAAAGGAAATCAAAACAGAGGATGGACACTATGAGGATTTATTAAGTGACTCATTTGTTGCGAGCAATAAATCATTGAAACCTTCCGTACCTCCTAAACCGAAACCCGACAAGAGATATTCATAGAAACAATGCTTGATGTATGTCGAGCGCACATCCGGACCTATGTAGGTTTTGGCTGTAACTATTCCTTAGACAATAGATGGCCGTAAACAGGAGGCCATTGAGGATTTCACGAAATTGCCATTTGTTTAACTGAATAGTTATGAACTTGTTTGTTGATTATGTCGCACTCAGTACTAGTCCACCTATATGACGGTGGTATGTAAATATGTTAATAATCGTGTCTGAACCAGACTATTGAGGGATGGACAACATGAACATATATTACGCAATTGTGGTACGATAGCATGCATTCACCAAGTCAACAAGCCTGACCACCCGGTCCCGTTAGTCGCCTCTCACGACAAGCATGGGTTGCTGTAGATACATCTAACCAGGATCGTCATGGGAGATTTGTGTTCTTGGATATTGTTCGGAAGGAGCAAGAAATATGAAAGAAATGTGAAGTTGTCGTATCACACTTCTGCGTATGTTGCAGTCCTGCAAATTGTACATTGGTTTCCCCCATTTGAATGTCAACCGTATATGTTGGGACGTGAGCGTAGTGACCTGACCGTTCGTTAACCATTACAACAATCACTTGGAGTAAGGGGACATTAAGTGTTTCGCTAAAATAGGTGGATTATATCCATTTCAAGTAATGATGTATGTTTCATTATAACAAATACTTATATCATATTCTCTCATCTACCTTGTAACTCTGTATTCATAGAAAAAACTTACGAAAACAAATGCTATATATGGGTATTTTTTCATTGCACTGTACATAACGTTTAAGCTTGTTATAGAATAAAGTCGATTCTTAATGTTGGAAAATGTGCTATTTTTTAATTACAATTTACAATTTCCATAATGGAAATGAAAATCTCACAGATTATTTTAATATATACTCTCCCAAAAAAGAAACGCATATAGGAATATTAACTGTATTTTTATGTTTATTTTGAAACATCTTGTAGGCTTTATGAGTCAATGAAATATAGCGAAATTGCACACTGGGAATGCAGAATTATCCGTCTTTGGCACCAACTCGAGGAACGTCAGTTTGAGTGTCACATGGAGACTTGTGGTGGCGCTGAAGTCAGTACCTCGTGTGACCACCGTGGGCATCCAGAACTGCACGGCATCGCCTCGGCATCGAACGAATAAGTCTCAGAATCTCGTGTTGCCCAATCGCAGCCCACTTTGCCTGTAGTGCCTTCGCGAGTTGCTGAAGTGTTTGGGGCTGAGGGTTACGGCGTCGCACCCGTCTGTCCAGGGCATCCCACATATGTTCTATCGGGTTTAAGTCCGGTGATCTTGAGGGCCAGGGGAGCACATTGATGTTGTGGTTCTGGAGGAAGTCTCTAGTGTGACGTGCTGCTTGGGGCCTGGCATTGTCCTGTTGAAACAACTCCCTCTGGCGATCAGTGATTGGAAGGAGGTGTGGGCGTAGGATTTCATCACAGTACCATTGAGCTGTCAGGTTGCCCTGGATCATCACCAAATCACTTCTCCTAAGGCAGGTGATCGCTCCCCACATCATAACACTGCCCCAGCCAAATCTGTCCACCTGGGGAACGCAAGCGTCGGTGAAACGTTCACGTCGACGTCTGTACACCCGCATTCTTCCATCGCGTCGCCAATAGAAATCGTGATTCATCACTGAACCAGATTCTACGCCAAATCGGTAGGTTCCAGGCCTGAACGTTGGTGCACCATTGAACTCGATGTCGACGATGTTGTTGTCGAAGCACAGGGCCAAAATATGGTCTTCTGGCACGTAAACCAGCCTCTCTCAACCTGTTCTTGACGGTCTGTGCAGAAAGCCTCCTCAATCCGGGTATTTGTCGAGCGGTACTGCTCGCCGTAGCTGTTCGATGACGCAGGTGATGTACCCGGATGTAGCGATCCTGCGCTGCAGTGGTCGCTCGAGGTCGCCCACTACGAGGGGCATCTGCTACCGAATTCTGCCGGCGATATCTCTCCCAGAGCCGTGAAATGGTGCTTTGGTGAACATTCATGCGTCGGGCAACTGCACGTTGAGACTGGCCAGCTTCAAGCAAACCAATGGCGATATGACGGTTGGCTTCACTTAGACGTGGCATTTTGCGTTCGTCAACAATATTCCAAATACAGTGAATAAGCGACAGACAGCGATCAACCTTTTATACCCATCATTGAGACTATCTGATCCCCAACTTTCACGTGCATTGCATGTGCATTGTGTATTCTGTGACACTACACGCCGAAATTGAAAATCATGCTGTTAAATACGGGTATTTTACGGATGGCGCGTTTTGTTGTGATGTTTCAAAACATAAACACCATAGGACTCATAAACAGAGCAAAACCTTTTGTAAAATGAATCACGTTTTAATTCATTGCTACATGAAATTGCTATTTTCATGATGCGTTTCTTTTTTGGGAGAATATATAAGTAAAAGGAATCCACTTTAAAAGAATTAGTCATTCTTCAGCGTCAGTTGGCCAGATAGCTCTCAAATCTAACAAGGTGTAACAAAATATGAATAATACATCATTATTACATTGTGAGATTTAATGCATATATGCACAGATAGAAATGCCCAAGACCATGGCTATTATCCTTTCTTTATCAATGATACCCGTGAAGGTCCGGGTTAGAATGTGCCTTCAGTAACCCATACTTGTCGTAAGAGGCGACTAACGTGATCAGGTGGTCAGGCTCGCTGACTTTGTTGACACATGTCATCGTATCCCAATTGCGCAGATCGATGCTCCTGTTGTTGATCACTGGATTGTCTGGTCCAGACTCGATTATTTACAGACCACCGCCATATAGCTGGAATATTGCTGAGTGCGACGTAAAACTAAACTCACTCACTCTCTATCAATGAACTGCCTACGACAAAACGCCAGTTTAATAGACATGATCAAATACTGTTCTGCTCTCTGCAGATCATTATTCGCGTTGTGTATGAAATTATATATGTATATACTCACTGAAAACGTTGTTTCATATGTTAGCTTCAGTTGTAAGTATTTCAGACACCATGTAGGCGAAAGTGTTACAGCCTTGGGCGGCTGAGTGTCTCCACTGAACTCTAGTAATCCCATGCAACTACCATATCTACACACGCACTCACCCACTTCTATATACCTTATATAAGTGTGAAAAATAAATATACACTCACTGACAAACTTAAAACTAAATACTACATACTACAGCCACTCATCAACACTGATTTCACTCAACTTAACTCGACTAACTTAAATCTGTACATACTGTATCTACACCCACACCGATTTAACTCAGTTTCGATACAATATCAACTAGAACGATTTTTATGGATGGACACCTTCTTTATTGAAACGGATGCGACATATCGGTGAAGATGCTACCACCGTTACCAAGCAAGTGATACACATTATGAACAAGGAAAATATATACATGGGTATTAGAGTATATATAATTAACGAGTTTGTTGTACAGTGTGATGACATTACTGATAGTTTTGGATTGTGATAATAGGTAAAGGCTTTGAAGCCAGATGGACAAAGGGTAGGGCTGCTTAATCTTGATTGGCCTTGATAAGATGATGGTAAGCCGTAGGGGTGTAATGACCTTGATTTACGTACTGTTTTAACTCAGTGTAAATAGTATATCCACACACACTCACACAAACACACACTGACCAATACTGATTTAACTCAGTGTAAATACTATATCAACACACACACTGACCAACACTGATTTAACTCAATGTAAATACTATATCCACACACACTGACCAATACTGATTTAACTCAGTGGAAATACTATATCCACACACACTCACCAACACTGATTTAACTCAGTGTAAATACTATATCAACACACACAATGACCAACACTGATTTAACTCAGTGTAAATACTATATCAACACACACACACTGACCAACACTGATTTAACTCAGTGTAAATACTATATCCACACACACTGACCAACACTGATTTAACTCAGTGTAAATACTATATCAACACACACAATGACCAACACTGATTTAACTCAGTGTAAATACTATATCAACACACACACTGACCAACACTGATTTAACTCAGTGTAAATACTATATCAACACACATACTGACCAATACTGATTTAACTCAGTGTAAATTCTATATCAATACACACACTCACCACCACTGATTTAACTCAGTGTAAATACTATATCAACACACACACTGACCAATACTGATTTAACTCAGTGTAAATACTATATCAACACACACACTGACCAATACTGATTTAACTCAGTGTAAATACTATATCAACACACACTGACCAATACTGATTTAACTCAGTGTAAATACTATATCAACACACACTGACCAATACTGATTTAACTCAGTGTAAATACTATATCAACACACACACTGACCAATACTGATTTAACTCAGTGTAAATACTATATCCACACACACTGACCAACACTGATTTAACTCAGTGTAAATACTATATCAACACACACTGACCAATACTGATTTAACTCAGTGTAAATACTATATCAACACACACACTGACCAATACTGATTTAACTCAGTGTAAATACTATATCAACACACACACACTGACCAATACTGATTTAACTCAGTGTAAATACTATATCAACACACACACTGACCAATACTGATTTAACTCAGTGTAAATACTATATCAACACACACTGACCAATACTGATTTAACTCATGTAAACACTATATCTGATTTAACACACACTGACCAATACTGATTTAACTCAGTGTAAATACTATATCAACACACAATGACCAACACTGATTTAACTCAGTGTAAATACTATATCCACACACACTGACCAACACTGATTTAACTCAGCGTAAATACTATATCAACACACACAATGACCAATACTGATTTAACTCAGTGGAAATACTATATCCACACACACTGACCAACACTGATTTAACTCAGTGTAAATACTATATCAACACACACACTGACCAATACTGATTTAACTCAGTGTAAATACTATATCCACACACACACACACACATACTGACCAATACTGATTTAACTCAGTGTAAATTCTATATCAATACACACACTCACCACCACTGATTTAACTCAGTGTAAATACTATATCAACACACACACTGACCAATACTGATTTAACTCAGTGTAAATACTATATCAACACACACACTGACCAATACTGATTTAACTCAGTGTAAATACTATATCAACACACATACTGACCAAACATCACTACATCCACACACTGACCAACACTGATTTAACTCAGTGTAAATACTATATCACACAACTGACACACTCAGTGTAAATACTATATCCACACACACTGACCAACACTGATTTAACTCAGTGTAAATACTATACCAGCACACACTGGACCAATACTGATTTAACTCAGTGTAAATACTATATCAACATCACACACTGACCAACACTGATTTAACTCAGTGTAAATACTATAACAACATCCACACATCCACACTGACCAACACTGATTTAACTCAGTGTAAATACGATATCAACACACACACTGACCAATACTTATTTAACTTAGTGTAAATACTATACACGCACTGACCAATACAGATTATACTCTATACCAATACAATTGCCCAGATACAGATTATTAGGTCTTTGAATGGCATTTAGAGAGTTTATGGATGTTAAGTTCTATATTATGAAGGTCGCCATTCTACATAATATAGAAGTTTACACCCATAAACTCTTTTCCTTAATACAGACTATTAATGGCCAAGAATGTGAAAGATACGTGACAAGTTTACAAGTTTCTAAAGAGTTCCTTCTGTTAACCTTTTCATCTTAATGTAGTTTTCCCCGGGAAGGTACCTCGCGTCACAACATTATCATTTTGTTCTTGATGTCGTATAAACCATCACGCTTTATTATACATTAGACTTGGGTCCAAAATATTTCCGGGTGATTTTTGTATTTTCACATGAAATGAACCATTTCCTGCTCACATATTATTAATCAGAGGTCCATGAGCCCCATTTCCCTGACACCGAATATAGCTGTGGACACTGGTGGCGCCATTTGTATTGGTTTCATACATACATACATTATTTTTAACTCAGTCGGCTGCGACCCCTCATTTATCCCGGAAAACTCGGCTCCAGCTTGAACCGGACTATCAGGTAGGAAATTAATCCTTCTGTTCAAATCATAGTTTACTTAATTGAAATGTTTAATGGTTACATCTATTTATGTTTTACAAATACATTACTTTTGCTCGCCGCGATTAGCTGCAAGATTACGGCATTGAGTAATTCTCACTCACTCACTTTCACATTGCCTAGATGCACGGTAGGACAGCGAACGACTAAAAGGTACTGATACCATAGTTAAATGCAGCATCGTTTTTCAGTTGAGAAAACACTGATCCCGATTGAAATATAATTATAATTACACCTGTATTCATCACCGAATGAATATTTGTTTTAAAGGCTATTTTGATATGTATCTGCTATTTATTATGGACTTATACGTACTGACAATGGTTAAAATTACTTATGCACAATCAAGGTATACAGTTTACACTTATAGTATTTGTGCATATAATTTATGAATATATTTATTGGATTATCAGTTATATGAATTCTCACCCTTGCTTATTTTTTTACTCTGTTTTTCTGTCTGACTAGCATCTGTTCCTTCCGACCCCCTTTCACTCTCACAATCAGAGAGAGAGAGAGAGAGAGAGAGAGAGAGAGAGAGAGAAGGGATTAGTCGTTTGATTATTATGTTACAGATTCTTGCAAAAATGTAGTTAACTGAATTGCATTCTTTGAAAGTTACTTAAACCGTTGTGTTTATTCTTTTTTCAGTTCAATGCACCCACGATGGTCACCTCCGCCCCAGGTAATCACCAGTTACCAAACACATTGTTACCACTACCGGTGGACTATGGATTGTATGAGTAAAGTAGGCGCAGCCATGTGTCACGTAAAGTCTGTATAGTCTGTCATGTGCTAACTGACAAAGTTTCACTCACAGTGAGGTAGCTCTAACACATACAACGTGAGCATTTGAATGGCGTGTTCATTTCCACACAATTCTATTATTTGATCTTCTGATTCATCACATTAAAATGTATATGTACATGCCAGTAGTTTGGCGCTGTCAAACTCTCCTCTCCTTGCGATGAGAAGCAGTTAAACCTAAACCTAAACATCAGTCATCCCGTATATTTGGTGTTGATGACACCCTATCCTTCAGAAATTGGCTTCAGTGACTAAACGTTATCATGTATAGTTTAAACTACGAATCCGTGAAGGTTAGTGTTGATCTTCAGCAAACCTTGCTTGTGGTAAGAGGCGGCTAACAGGATCGGTTGGTCAGGCTCGCTAGCTTGGTTGGCACATGTAATCGTATCCCAATTTCGAAGATCGATAATAATGCTGTAGATCACTGGATCGTTTGATCCAGACTCGATTATTTATAGATATCTGTCGTAAAGCTGGAATATTGATGAGTGCGTCGAAAATGCACACAAAACAAATCAAAACTACGGAGTTTACATCGCAGTAAACAATACTAAAATCACGTCCGACCCTTTTGACGTTTGTCAGCTTCATAACTGCGCTCGTGGTTTTTACCAAAGTTCAAATTCTAGGGCATGCATACCTCGGAGTTAGATATGACTGTTCACTTTGACGATAAAATATACTGACTCACTTAGAATAATAGTAATTATTGTTGTACACCATATTTGTAAGTATTAGTATATGGGTATTTATATAGCGCTATAGTTCATCTACATGCATGCCCTTAGCGCATCAAACAAGTGTGTGACAATTGTGTAGCATACCATTGTGTGTGTGTGTGTGATGATTATGTTATCAACCATGGTATGTGTGATGACTTTGTGGTCAACCATGGTATGTGTGATGACTTTGTGGTCAACCATGGTATGTGTGATGACTTTGTGATCAACCATGGTATGTGTGATGACTTTGTGGTCAACCATGGTATGTGTGATGACTTTGTGATCAACCATGGTATGTGTGATGACTTTGTTGTCAACCATGATGTGTGTGATGACTTTGTGGTCAACCATGGTATGTGTGATGACTTTGTGATCAACCATGGTATGTGTGATGACTTTGTGGTCAACCATGGTATGTGTGATGACTTTGTTGTCAACCATGATGTGTGTGATGACTTTGTGGTCAACCATGGTATGTGTGATGACTGTGCGGTCAACCATGATGTGTGTGATGACTTTGTGGTCAACCATGGTATGTGTGATGACTTTGTGGTCAACCATGGTGTGTGTGATGACTTTGTGGTCAACCATGGTGTGTGTGATGACTTTGTGGTCAACCATGATGTGTGTGATGACTTTGTGGTCAACCATGGTGTGTGTGATGACTTTGTGGTCAACCATGGTATGTGTGATGACTGTGTGGTCAACCATGGTATGTGTGATGACTTTGTGGTCAACCATGGTATGTGTGATGACTTTGTGGTCAACCATGGTATGTGTGATGACTTTGTGGTCAACCATGATGTGTATGTGTGATGACTTTGTGGTCAACCATGGTATGTGTGATGACTTTGTGGTCAACCATGGATGACTTGTGGTCAACCATGGACTGATGACTTTGTCAACCATGGTGTGATGTGTGGTCAACCATGACTTTGTGGTCAACCATGGTGTGTGATGATGTGTATGTGTGATGACTTTGTGGTCAACCATGGTATGTGTGATGACTTTGTGGTCAACCATGGTATGTGATGACTGTGCGGTCAACCATGATGTGTGTGATGACTTTGTGGTCAACCATGATGTATGTGATGACTTTGTGGTCAACCATGATGTGTGATGACTTTGTGGTCAACCATGGTGTGTGTGATGACTTTGTGGTCAACCATGATGTGTGTGATGACTTTGTGGTCAACCATGGTATGTGTGATGACTTTGTGGTCAACCATGGTATGTGTGATGACTTTGTGGTCAACCATGTGTGATGACTTGATGTGGTCAACCATGGTATGTGATGACTTTGTGGTCAACCATGATGTATGTGTGATGACTGTGTGGTCAACCATGGTGGTGTGTGATGACTTTGTGATCTTTGTGGTCAACCATGGTATGTGTGATGACTTTGATGTCAACTTTGTGGTCAACCATGATGTGTGTGATGACTTTGTGGTCAACCATGTCAACCATGTGATGACTTTGTGGTCAGCCATGGGATGACTTTGTGGTCAAGCCATGGAATGTGTGATGACTTTGTGGTCAACCATGGTATATGTGATGATTTGTGGTCAACCATGGTATATGTGATGACTTTGTGATCAACCACGGTATGTGTGATGACTTTGTGATCACCCATGGTATGTGTGATGACTTTGTGGTCACCCATGGTATGTGTGATGACTTTGTGATCAACCACGGTATGTGTGATGACTTTGTGGTCACCGCTGGCATGTGTGATGACTTTGTGGTCACCCATGGTATGTGTGATGACTTTGTGGTCAAACAGGTGTGTGTGTGATGACCTTATGGTCAATCACGGTGTCTGTGTTGGGTATGTTGTATACTGTGGTATGTGTGAAACATATGTGGTGAACCATGGTATGTGTGATGACAATATGCGGTATATGTGGTAAACCACGGTATGTGTGATGACTATATGTGGTACACCACGGTATGTGTGATGACTATATGTGGTACACCACGGTATGTGTGACGACAATATGTGGTACACCACGGTATGTGTGATGACTATATGTGGTACACCACGGTATGTGTGACGACAATATGTGGTACACCACGGTATGTGTGATGACTATATGTGGTACACCACGGTATGTGTGACGACAATATATGGTACACCACGGTATGTGTGATGACTATATGTGGTACACCACGGTATGTGTGATGACAATATGTGGTACACCACGGTATGTGTGATGACTATATGTGGTACACCACGGTATTGTGATGTATGTGGTACACCAATATGTGATACTATGTGTGGTACACCACGGTCTGTGTGATGACAATATGTGGTACACCACGGTCTGTGTGATGACAATATGTGGTACACCACGGTATGTGTGATGACAATATGTGGTACACCACGGTATGTGTGATGACTATATGTGGTACACCACGGTCTGTGTGATGACTATATGTGGTACACCACGGTATGTGTGATGACTATATGTGGTACACCACGGCATGTGTGATGACTATATGTGGTACACCACGGCATGTGTGATGACTCTAGTGGTACACCACGGTATGTGTGATGACTATATGTGGTACACCACGGTCTGTGTGATGACTATATGTGGTACACCACGGTATGTGCGATGACTATATGTGGTACACCACGGTCTGTGTGATGACTATATGTGGTACACCACGGCATGTGTGATGACTCTAGTGGTACACCACGGTCTGTGTGATGACTATATGTGGTAAACCATGGTATGTGTGATGACTATATGTGGTACCCCACGGTATGTGTGATGACTATATGTGGTACACCACGGTATGTGCGATGACTATATGTGGTACACCACGGTCTGTGTGATGACTATATGTGGTACACCACGGTATGTGTGATGACTATGTGCCATACCATGGTATGTATTGTAACTCTTTGGTAGCGGATAGCACGTGAGATGACTATATGTTATACCGTGGTTTGTGTACAGACTATGGGATTATCTATAGGATGTCATACCGGACGCACAAACCGGACATATTTCGTACATTATTTGTCTTTCATTTCCATTTTCCAGTTACATATCCGTTTGTGTGGATATTCGGGATTTCAACTGTTATCGTTCTTCTCATTGTCGTCTTCATCTGTATCCGAAGGTAAAGGAGGTTGCATTCATTAAGGGGTTTGGAAGAAGGAAGTACTGAGAATTCAATTATAACAGTGTCTGTTGCCTGAGAAAGCATCGAACATATATCTACATGTATACTTTTGTCCTGATGTAGAATATTTATAAACTACCATACATACCCTGAAACACATATACCCAATGCAACCCAAGCAAGTCTAGAATATGTGGCAAGTGTACACTACCACAGTTTCAGGAAAATAATTTAGGAAGTGTTTTTTTTTTTTTTTGTTAATTGGTTTTTGTTGTTGGAGGGGGGGGGGGGGATTGTGTGTGTAAATTATCCTTATTTCAGAAACTAGATGTCAGTCTAGGATATTTACTGAATACAGAGTAGAGATCATCAAATAAACAAGGATTATTTGTCATTTTCCATCCCAGATAACGTTTTCCGAATCATCTATGCAACCATATTTTAACAATTACATTTTTGTCTGTTTTAACCATTAAGAAAGAAGAAAAAGTATAAGTTCCTTGGAAGCATGGACATTGCAACAGTCTTTGGACAGATCACAGCAGAAGACAACGCTGAAATGCGAGCAAACGAGCCAGACCCTTTGTTATGCCCATCTGGTGCTTCTGGAAACGCTGCTCAACACGCGAACAAGCGTGAACCAACAGCCTCGGGGAGCTCTAAGAGAACTGAGAGTAAGTCGTGTTTTGCAAATCAGCAACCAGCGGTGAACATGGGTGGTTGTCGTCAGAAAAGTAAGTCAACATTTCATGCTACGTTACGAGACTTTAACGTCGAGACTAGCCCAGAGAATGGCACTGCCAAAAATTCCAAGCCTAACAGAGGTCCCAGAAGCGACTATGAGGGAATATATCTGAAACATCCTAATCGTAATCCTTACAAATCTAGGCCGCTCCCACAAATTCAACCTTCACAGTTGATATTAACAGAAGAAGAAAGGGCATCCCTTCCAGAAAATGCTCTGAGAAGATTGCAATCACAGTCACTAAAGCACAACCTAGTCTCTAACTTTCATGCAGACCCTGCGAATCGTCCTCAGTCCGTTTCTACTGAGCACGTCCCAAAGAATCTATCTAAGCAGACTTATAAGTCTCGTAAAGGTAACCAGAAAAATACTCTACCAATGGCGAATTCATCTAACATGGCAAGGCGTCCTCTTCCACCAATTCAAATGGATGGAAACAAACCACTTTTGCAGTCAGACAAGAACATGAAAAAACAGGAGACTCCAGGTGAAAAGAGGATAATGTGCGTTAAACCTCTTCGTCCAGAACAGTTTGCGGTCAGCACTGATTCCGTTGGCAATCCTGCAGGGCTTAAAGGATCACCATCTGCCAAAAAGAAAACAAAAAACAAAAAACCAAAAGATATTTCTTTTGAATTTCCAAAGAAGCCAAAATCCTACGGAAATACGAAAGGAGATAATATTAACAAACCACAAGTAAAGGAGGATTCAACAAAGACTCTCAAACTCGATCGAGATCGTAGCAATAGAGCTCTCGAGTCCCCACAACAGGTATATGCACTGAAATATATCCCTGATAATTACTCTGACGCGCCTAAGAATCAACAAGTAGATTACCAGAGACGCAATATTCTTAGTGGCACTTCTGAAGATGGTCAGAATGAACAGAGGACCACGCAACTAACACCGTCAGGTTCTAGTAAGTCAAGTCCAAGTCATTTCACTGTTGAAGGAAAGTCAAATACGACTGCAAACTTGTTCAAGTATTTCTCTGAAGACATAACACTACCTTCAAATGAACTGGAAGCAGACCCGTCACGATCTGTACAGACTGAAGGACAATCTGAAACACACAATCTGATGAAGCCAAATGGCAAAACAGAAGAAGACGCGACAGTACAGCTCTTAACAAATGGTTTACCCAATACAGGACCATCAGTTGCCAAAATCTCATCCATTGAACAATCAACAGTGGATAATACTGAACATGTTCTCAGTGCTCATAACTCAAATGGCAAAATGTCGAAGAACAAAGACATGTCGCAAGCCATATCAAGTGATCCACATAACCTTGGTGTCCCCAAAAATGACCAACCCAAAGATGCCTTATCGGCTGAAGTTGAAAATGAACCCGAACTACAACTCACACCCAAAGACGTGCTAGAAACGAAGACACCAGAGCTTCAGGTACTAAAATCAGCACCTGAGGACCCAGTTTCACTGAAATCGCCCGATACCAAAGCGCCACTGGCAACAGAAGATGTGTATGAGTCAGGCAATGTTAAGGCAGAGATGCAACCAAGTCTGAGACCTGCGAATAAAGAAGGAAAGCTTGATAAACCAAAGGATGCGAAGCCCAAGGCGAAGGTTTTCTCCATTCCAAGGGGAGGTAGTGGCATGTTAGGGGATCTTTGTCAGTTGTAGCCGCAACAAAAGAAAACCAGATACAGTACATATACATGGCAGGGGTAACACGCCCGAGTTATGACTGGCTTGGTGGATATAAATAATATGCACCAGTGCAATATATGTCCGTCAAAAGATTGTATCAATGGATAGACAGGATATACACTAGTGCAATATATGTGAAATTTACTATAATTGATGGATATACATGATATGCACTAGTGCAATATATCTTCGCTTAATGAGGGGATCTATGGATATAAATAATATGCACCAGTGCAATATATGTCCGTCAAAAGATTGGATCAATGGATATACATGATATACACTAGTGTAATATATTTGAAAGTACTGGCTGGATTGATGGATACACAAGATATGCACTAGTGCAATATATGCCCGTCTAATGACTGGATCGGTGATTATTCATTACATGCACTTCTGTGGCATATGCCAGCGGAATGTCTAAATAGGTGGCCAGGTATTGTATTGTATGCCATAGCGCAAACTATTCACGTGTAAACACTGCATTAATGCACACTAATAAAAGTGCTTTGACAGTTTTTTGTCCGGAATTGGAGATTGGGGACTAATCATCTTGGGGGTAATGCAGTATTGATGTTTAGTCATATACGGTTATCGCGTTCGTCTAATGTGATGAAATTCTCTCTGTTTGTAATATTGCAATAAAACATATTCAACTACACATTATGGCTTTTAATTTACAGTCAACAGGGAAACATGGAATCCATGCATTGGAGAAGCAGTTTCTTTTACAAAAATAGTTTTATGAACTAGCTAAGGTTTAAATAGGCGTTATTGTTACATGAAACCGGAATAAAGAAGCAGAACGCTAGGAAAATGCGTGGTGTCTCTGCTATCTGAACTTCTCATTCGATCAACCCGTGAAGATCTGGGATTTAGAATTGATCTTCAGTAATCCATGCTTGTCGTAAGAGGCGACTAACGGGATCGGGTGGTCAGACTTGGTTGACACATGTCATCGGTTCCCGATTGCGTAGATCGACGCTTATGTTGTTGATCAGTTGATTGTCTGGTCCAGACTCGATTATTTACAGACCGCCGCCATATAGCTGTAATATTATATTAGAGTGCGGCTTTCGATCACGAGTGAGTTAAGTTCAACTCGGGTTTGAAAAGTATATGCTAGTTTTAGCCAGCTTAATGTGGTAGAATGGCCAACAGGTGTTAGACGTTTATCATTTGTGAAAGTCACCAGTATAGGTGTGGTTTGACAAATGTTCAAGACCCGGGATTCAAATCCACGATACTCGGTTTCTAGGGTTCCCATCTCTGCACAAATAACTGCAGCACGTGAGACACCTGGAACAAAGTGCCCTCCCTCTCCTCAGGTTCCCATCTCTGCACAAATAACTGCAGCACATGAGACACCTGGAACAAAGTCTCAAATAACTGCAGCACATGAGACACCTGGAACAAAGTGCCCTCCCTCTCCTCAGGTTCCCATCTCTGCACATCTGAGACACCTGGAACAAAGTGCCCTCCCTCTCCTCAGGTTCCCACAAATAAGGTTCCCATCTCTGCACAAATAACTGCAGCACATGACAGAACAAACCTCAGGTTCCCAACAAATAACTGCAGCACATGAGACACCTGGAACAAAGTGCCCTCCCTCTCCTCAGGTTCCCATCTCTGCACAAATAACTGCAGCACATGAGACACCTGGAACAAAGTGCTCTCCCTCTCCTCAGGTTCCCATTCGAATCACCTAAATTTTCTATGATTCATGTTAGGTGCGTTTGAGATGTTGATGTCATAAGATTTCACGCTTATAACAGTATGGAGATAAATACCTCTGTGACAGTACAGTGGTACAAAGGTTGTTTCCCAGGGCCCGGGCGATGTTAACGCTGTCTGTATTTGAGTGCCATGTTCCCCGACCAGAAAACATCGGATTGCTTTACTCGTGCTGAAATATCCGCGCGCGCACACACACACACACACACGCAGGCGTGCACGCACGCACGCACGCACGCAAGCACGCACACACACACCATATGATCTGTTTGCAACCGAACCAATATATTTAACAAAAATACGGAAATATTTCAGGTCAAAACAATATGAGTTAGAATGTGATCACGTGATCATGGATGGTATGGAATATTCAGTACTTCTAATATAGTGCTTGTAATTATAAAACTTCCGTGAATGTATGGTTCACCGTGAACATCCAACATGTAATTGCGCCGGTTTAGGCGTGTAATAAATAAACAACTCCATCCTCCACAACCAAACATGGTGGTCGGGTAGCCTAGTGGTTAAAGCGTTTGCTTGTCACGCCGAAGACCCGGGTTCGAAACCCCACATGGATCCAGTTTTTGAAGCCCATTTCTGTTGTCCCCAGCCGTGATATTGCCGGAACATTTCTAAAAGCGGCGTAAAGCCATACTCATTCTATTACTCGATCATTCTACAACCAAAAAGTCATAACACCTTATCCAATCAGATACATGTATTGTGTTTGTAACGCCGAGGAATCAGATGTTGCTGAACACCTAAAAGCATATATTCAGATTACTTCTTATCTTTTTCAAAATTTGTGATTGAAATATAAGCAGCAAAAGAAACGTCAGTTTGGAATTTTCCCTCGCAGAAACGGATAACTGTAAACTCATTTAATGTTTTGATTGTATATTTTTGACAACATCTCCAACTTTACCTGAGCAAAGACATTCCTTCCCAAACTCAGAATGGAACCCAGGAAATGGTCTTCAAAACGCAACCTGATCTCGTAGATGGTACGGTGTTCTCTGTGTTTTCATGCAACTCATGCTGCACGTGCTGTTCCCAAGGACCAGCCCTATAAAATGCACCCCCAAACCTGGTTGAAACATTCACATTACAACGTCAGCAGGATGTTGGGACTCACGACGGCTCAGAGGAACCAGGCGCTAGGAAGACTTGAAGCTGGCCACACTGCACAAGCCGTTGCCATCTACAGGCTGCAGCAACGTTTCCGGGCCACCAACACCACAAATTCTCTCCCCCGTACTGGCAGACCAAGGGTGACCACAAGACGACAAGACTGCCATGTTGTGCGACAGCATGTACAGAATCCCTTCATGCAGGCATCCGAAACAACACGCCAGACAGTGGGAACACACGGAAGACCAATCAGTACTGATACAGTACGCCGACGTCTTAACAGCGGGAACCTCCGTTGCCGTAGACCTTACCGTGGACCTATCCTCACCCCTCGTCATCGGCGTGAACGTCTACAGTTTGCCCTACAACACCAAAACTGGCGATACAGGCATTGGAGAACTGTTCTGTTCACAGTTGGTACTGCGTATCAACTGCAGATGGCAGAACAAGAATATGGCGACGACGTGGCCAGCGTTACTCAGGCCAATGTGTTATGGAAAGAGACTCATGGGGAGGTGCAAGCATCATGGTATGGGGTGGAATAGTCCTGAACCAGAGAGTGGGTCCTGTGGTGTTCTAGAACCTTGGTCCAGGGAGAGGAGGCGGCATCACATCGGTGCGCTACATCAACCAGGCTCTCAGACCCCACGCCATACCACATTTCACACGTCACCGGAACAACATTTTCCAGCATGATAACGCCAGGGCCGTTACTGCCAGAGCTTCAAGGGACTTCCTACAGCAGAACGGTGTCAACATTATGCAGTGGCCAGCCCTTAGTGCTGATTTAAACCCAATAAAACATCTTTGGGATGAAATTCAGAGGAGACAAAATAATGTCATACCAAGGCCGAACACAGCCAATTTATTGCGCCAGGCCTTTCTCTGAGTGTGGTTCCAGGTGTCAATGGCCTTCATCAATCGATTGGTGCACTCCATGCATAGACGCTGTACTGCAGTTATTGCCGCTCGTGGTAGTCACACTAGATACTGAAGTCAAGAGTCTGAATGGACTGCAAACGTTCACGTAATGTCTTGGAATTGTGCTGAGTTATTCATTGATGTCTCGGGATATCGTACACAAAAAAAGGTTTTGATCCGCTTATTATGTCTATTTCTGTAATGATTTGATTACAGTGCCTATCTAATTTTGAATTCGTACTGACGGGTTTTTTTGCTGCTGAGTATATATATATTAATATGTATTATACATAGGCATGTTTTACAGTTGTTCATACGCATGAATGTTGAGGCGACTGACGGGTGGTCAGACTCGCTACCTCGGTTGACACGGGTCATTGTATCCCGATAGCGTAGATCGATAATCATGATGTCAATCACTGGATTGTCTGGTCCAGACTCGATTATTTACAGACATCCGCGAAATAGAACATCTCACTTATCACTCTTACTAGGGCCATGAGCAACAGCTTCATCACTAATAAAACCCGTGAAGATCCGGGTTAGAATTGATCTTCAGCAACCCGCGATTGTCGTAAAAGGCGACTTACGGGATCGGGTGGTCAGCCTCGTTGACTTGGTTGGCACATCATCGTATCCCAATTGCGCAGATCGATGCTCATGCTGTTGATCACTGGATTGTCTGGTCCAAGCTCAATTATTTACAGACCGCCACCATATAGCTGGAATATTATATTAGAGTGCGGCGTAAAACTAAGCTCACTCATCGATGACAAACGAACAGGACGACAAAGTACAGCGCCTATTGAGTCCTATAAGTACAGCCGTCATAAACACAACCAAAGGTTTAGCTGAAACGTACGGTCAAAATAAGAAATGCATTGACATATTTTTTGTCACTGAAGCGTCAACTTCGAAATGTCTTCCACATGTTTACCATAAAACATAGAACCCCTTTGGGGGGCTTTACTGTGACATTGATTATGTTAACTGTGATTAGAGAATTAGTTTTAATATCTGCAAATTCTGAGTATTTAGCAAACAGTTATCTCGGCGACATTCATTCGGTAACTTATAAATACACACTTGACTTTATAAATTTATAATTCTATGCTAACTGGAATAATACTGGTGTGCCTGGTTAAACAATCACCATATCGGTAGAAAAAGATCGTTTGTTATTCTGCAAACAAAATAATCACCCTGGGTACTTACAAAATATTAGGGGCGGTGGGGTAGCCTAATGGTTAAAGCGTTGGCTCGTCACGCCGAAGACCCGGGTTCGAATCCCCACATGGGTACAATGTGTGAAGCCCATTTCTGGTGTCCCCCGCCGTGATATTGCTGGAATATTGCTAAAAGCGGCGTAAAACCAAACTTAGTCAGTCAGTCAGTACAAAATATTAAAAACTTGTCGATAAAGAGGTCATTGTGTAGTTGTCTTTCTTATAACTGATATTGTTATGCTCCCAGATCAGCCTAGTAAACATATCACGTGACAGCATGGAAAATAACACTTGGTGTTCGGGAGCAATCACGTATTAGCTGAACCCGTTTTCACGACATTAATGGCAAAGCCACTTTTTAAAACTACCCTGATACTGTATGTGTGTCTTGTTTAAGTACACTGCCAGACTAGTCATCAGTTTCCGAACGAGGTTAATCATGAGAACATGTCTAACGTCACGCATAATTCATGTTTCATTTTCCTGTTCTGACAAAATGAAATAAAAACTACTCTATGAGTCAGTGTGAGAGGACATATCCGAGAAATGGGAGAACGGGACATCTTTAGGTTTGGAACAATGAAACAAGAAGGTAGGTCAATATACAGTTCATAGTATTGACCTCTGCGTCTCTTGCTGGGGCGGTGGGGTAGTCAAGTGGTTACAGCGTTCGCTCGTCACCCCGAAGACCCGGGTTCGATTCCCCACATGGGTACAATGTGTGAAGCCCATTTCTGGTGTCCCCGCCGTGATATAGCTGGAATATTGCTAAAAGCGGCGTAAAACTTAACTCACTCCCTCACTCTGCGTCTTGCTACAGTAATGTTGATACTGTTGTGTCAGTACTGCTAATAGCGAGGTGCGCGTAGGTATAAAATTCAGAGTTGTAATATTTTGGCTAGTTACTGTCGTTAAAATGAGCTTACATAAACTATACACATTCAATATTTCAGTATGGGTTTGGGTGACAGAGAGACTAGTGATGAAATGTATAAATGTCACATTTACATAAGTTCTTACATGAGTTATACACATCTGACATTTCAGAATGACTTTGAGGGATGGAATTTATAAGTTTAATACCAACCGCACAAAGATCACAAACTAAACATAACTAATCCCAACATTATGATACTCCTCAGCGGACATATTTTCTTCCTAATCTGTCAAAACAGGAATAGCACAGTTTGAACAGTCATATCAAATAAAAAACTCGAGAGCGTAAATACTCATTAAACCATTTGAATCAATATCTTTCAGACTTCCAACACCTTATGTACCTGAAGGTTCTGATGGCCACAATCACTTTCCTTTTCGCCAGCTATATTGGCCTACTTGTGCTGCAGTGGGTTGTCAACAAAAGGTGAGTCACACTATTGTTCTGAAACTGAAATAACAATTAACACATTTACTGCCCTCAGTTGCCCTTAACACGTTCTTACATAATATACATTTACACAAGGGTATGATATAGTATGGTGTGTATGTGTGGGGGTGGGGGTGGGGGTGGATGGATTTGGTTGGGGGCTGTAGGTGCGAAACAAGCTCGAAGTGATACAGGCCTTTCATGTTTACCAATTATAGGTACTCGTGAGCTGGGTTTTGGGCTGACAAACATACACATATATTTTGATGTAATCAAGATTCGAACCCAAGGTGTCCAACGGGCGCAACCCCAAACAACCACTTAAATGTGGCCGTTCCCCATAGCACAGCGTGCAATGTAAATATATGAAGGCGGAATATATAGTAGAATATACAACAGTTACTACCCAATTAAATAGGCTCACTACGACAAACATGGACTGGTGGTGATCAGTTCTATAATCGTCTTGGAATTAGAGGGACGGGACAAATTTCATTGTGATCTCAAACACAAACAGGTGCAAAATTTGCTCAAAACACTTAAAGGGTATGGCTTCTTATTTGGCACAATACCTAATGGTATTTGGCAGTAACCTACTCCAAGACATATTCCCGAATGAAGGAACAGGAATGGAAATATATAATCCTGTCGTTCTCAGAAATTTTACTTCAGCACAAGAAATCATTTCCAGTATATGCCTGAACTGAAAACTCTGCTGGATTTGTAACTGTAACCGTCAATGTCTCACGAACTGATAACAATTTGAAACTGTGTTTTATCCAAAATAAGACTCTACTGTTATTTCAGGTATGGTCGACGCCGCAAACACGATATCCCTAGGGGGTCTGCTGTCTTGAATGAAACTGAATGTGTTCTTCTTCAAGAAGTATCCACGAGGGAAAGTCGTGCACTTCGACAGAAAAGGCGTGAGAGTTGGTATGTTGATAACGTTGGAACATCCAGGGACCGCCAAGGAATGATCCCTCATGACAACAATCCCAATGACAGAGATCGCCAAGGAGTGATCCTTCATGACAACCATCTCTATGACTGGGATCGCCAAGGAATGATCCCTCATGACAACAATCTTAATGACGGAGATCGCCCAGGAATAATCATCCGTCATGAGAACCATCCCAATGACAGAGATCGCCAAGGAATGATCCGTCATGACAACCATCTCTATGACTGGGATCGCCAAGGAATGATCCCTCATGACAACAACCCCACTGACTGGGATCGCCAAGGAATGATCCCTCATGACAGCCATCCTAATGGCAGAGATCGCCAAGGAATGATCCCTCATGACAACAATCCCACTGACTGGGATCGCCAAGGAATGATCCGTCATGAGAACCATCTCTATGACTGGGATCACCAAGGAATGATCCCTCATGACAACCATCACAGTGAAGAACAGGATCATGTCAATATATGTGAAGTATCTACAGAAAACGACGGCCAGGCAGACAAGTCATTTTGCATAAATCTTTCAACAAGTTCAAACGACAATAGAGAGTCGAGGCTATTACCTGTTTCAGGAGGAAGTTGGTTAAATGAGGGTATCTGGGAAAACAATAATTTATATGTTGGCCACGACCTACCTGGACAAAGTGAAACAGTACTGTAACGTGAGACAACGACTGTGGACACAACATCACATTGACCAATATATAACGTCAATGCCAGAGTGAGTGAGTGAATATGGCTTTACGCCTCTTTTAGCGGTATTCCAGATATTTTGCGGCAGGGGACACCAGAAATGGGCTTCACACATTGTACCCTTGTGGGGAATCGAACCCGTGTCTTCAGTGTGCGAGCGAACGTTCAACCACTAGGCTACACTACCACCCGGAGAATTTTCAGAAATTCGAAACATAAATTCTCAGACTTGGATATGAATCCAATCTTTCTAATTTTGCATCAAAATCCTGACAAACAATATTTATCAATATGAAGATGTATTGGTGCCTCAACCATATCACGTCGATATTTAAATAATCGGGTCTGGACATGATAAACTGGTGATCGATGTCGTGAGCGACGACGAGTCAGTTATCTCCATTTCAGTCGGTCTTCATACAATCACTGGTTGCGATCAACTCTTCCGCATCGGACCTCCGGCGATATTCAGGACAATGGCCGACTGTATTTGCCAACCCGAATGTAACATTACCACATCAAGACATCGGTTAGGGTATGACTATGCTATGGGGTAGCAGAAAAACAAAACTAAGAGTAGTGTAATTTATTCATAGCGGATGAATCCGTTTTGTACACATGCATCTTTATTTGAAATACATATATATTCAGGTGTTGGATTCCACTCAAATGTTATATACTTACATCACATATCCGTTGACTGACCTGAATAAATATGCATGTATGTTGAATAAATATGTACTAGTATTCGTACTAATGAGTTGGTGTCATTAGTTTAACGCCACTAAGATCAATATTTCACTCATATCACTAATACAGTATTGTTGGAGAAAACCTTAAAGAAATGCAGGTTTGGGTCATCTATTGAAGTCTTTGATGAAATCCGCAAGAGCGGGTGTAACGCTGACAAACCTGGAGCAAGTGAGTCTGGATTTATGCTGCTGGACAATATCCTAGCTAAAGGGGACAATATCCTAGCTAAAGGGGACAATATCCTAGCTAAAGAGGACACCTGAAATGGGTTTCATCTGTTCTACCCATGTGGAGGGAAACCTGGTAACATGAAGATCAAATCGTTTTCTAACCCAGGATCGTCGTTTCCTGGTATACCGAAGGGAGGCAACTCACAGTGCTTACGTGTATAGAATACTTCCAGTATGATGAAGAATATTGCCTATGTTTGCAAAACGTGAGTGAGTGTAGTTTTACGTCGCCTTTAGCAATACTCCAGCAATATCACGGCGGTCGGCACTAGAAATGGGCTTCACACATCGTACCCATGTTCGGAATCGAACCCGGTTCTTTGGTGTGACGAGCGACTGCTTTAGCCACTAGACTACCCCATCGTAGGTGATAGTTTCACTAACTGTCTGTCCCGACACAGGTCATATTTCCGCAGTAGTGCAACAGGCAGACCTGATAACTTCCTGGTGTCGCTGGTTTGTTAATACCGTAACTAACTCATTTAGCGTACCCACGACAAAATCACGGAGATTCCTAACAGGACTCAACATTTTTCAACATCAACTTGCCGTCATAAATAAAGGAAAAATATGTAGATCGTCATTAAATCCCGCACATGAGTGAAGGAATAAAGAGTATTGTATAAAACATCGTATGATACTTGACTGTGTATTTGTATTGCCGTGATGAATATTTGGCCTCATAATGTATGGACTTTAATCATGTGGAATACGGTAATGTAATGATAAAATAGTTACTGGCCCCATGCTATATGGCGAACACATATACTCGGCGTCATTAATGAAGGGTCAAGTTATTGGTAACACCATTTCTCAAAAGTTGTAAAATCTTCATTTTTGTTTGAAATCTATACAACTCAATGTTTTGCATACTTTCTAACACTATGGAAAACATATGAGGCCGCTGAAATGTCATTATTTCGTTCTTTAACGTCCGATACATTCTGTTGCAAATGGCACATTTTTTATTCAAATTGTCAATATGGAAATCCCCCTGCCATTTAATGTCAATTATTTGCACGTGTACGTCGCTCTGTCCATGGAAATACACATACATTGATGCTTTGTTACTGTCGTTCACTGTTCAGGTACCTGTTTGAAATCGCAGCTTAAAATAAGACGTTTTTTGACACTTGCTGAAAGTGGTCGGGCTATAGGCCCTTTGGAATCCGGTCAAAGTCAGCGGCAGGTTGCTGTCCGCTTTAATGTGAGTCGGAGTGTTATTGGTAGACTGTTTCAAGCCATGCAGTGAATGAGGGTACACAAGATACTGAATAACCGAGCGCTTCGTGTTTGTCATTTTCAATTGTTTCGGGGGTGGGGGGTGGGGGTGTTGTCTATACAACAAGTGCTGTTTGAACGTTTTGTCGGTATGTCCCGATGTGTCACGTTTGTCAACATATTAAACACTATGATGACACTCATGGTTCTATTACTTCTGAGAAACGTTTCTTTACAGGTGCTTTATATCATTTGACCCTTTATTAATGACGCCTAGTATAGAATATTGTCTGAGCATGTCTAGCCTCATTCTCTTCCCACAGAGGTTACTTGTCATATCGTCCTACGAACCTCTGTTCCAATACGGCCATATTTCCCGGTTCTCGTAAAATCCCCTAGCGGCAAAAAATCGCAACACGAATTATCTCCCTTCTTTTTATCCAATCAGAACACGTGATACATCGACTTAGATCCAACTTGACTAATGCAAGTGAAAATGGGGCCACAAATATCCAACTTCTCTGCCGGGAATTTGTGTTGATGTGACACACAAGACATTTAATGGCAAGCTTGTCCGTTGTCCTCGAGATCCGGCATTACATGACTGAGTTCTGTCTAGAAGAAACGTTTGCGCATCGCGCAGGGGAAAAGGTTCTAGTTTTCCCGAAGCATACGGATATTACCGAGGCCTTGCGAAGGATCACTTTTGAAACAACGTCGCTGATTGCACAACTAAATCTGATTGCAACCAATCACGAATCCTGAACACTCGCACCATGAAAGGGCCGTATTAGAACAGAGGTTCGTAGGAAGATATGACAAGTAACCTCTGTGGGAAGAGAATGGTCTAGCCTCTATCCAGCTGTGGGTTGATCGTATGCTACTTAGAACATACTACGGCACTATCGCTGTAATGTTAGTTCTCATATGTTCATTCCCTTTGAAACTAAAAGGCACTTTCGATGTGATGCGTGTTAAGAATTTACACTTTTCTAAACAGAAGTTTATTTAACTTAAGCCTTTGATAACAGATAACAGATACAAAGCAGATCATGGGGCAGTGGGGTAGCCTCGTGGTTAAGGCGTTGGCTCGTCGGTTTGATTCCCCAAATGGTTACAATTAGACTAACGCTTTGTCCCTGAATATATATAATCTTGATAGCAACAATTAAACCGACTTAAATTGAAATGGAGCCCCAGTCAAATGGGAGATACAGGACCTGGGGAATTTCAGTCTTGTTTTATCTAATTAGGTCTTTAGCATTGCAAGGAGGGCAAGGCAGTAGGGAAAATAATATGGTTCAGGAACTGTGGGGCGGACTAGGTTACAAGATGTGAAACCCATTTCTGGTGTCCCCCGCATTGGTATTGCAGGACTATTGCTAAAGGCGGCGTAAATGTAAACTCACTCACTCACTCAAAGTAGATCGCTAAGAGTCCTGAAAGCAGCTGTACGTCGCTGTATAAGCGTAGTAATCCCATTGTATCACACCTCAACTCCGTCCCGACCTGCGTCACGCTGACGAAACCCTGACCTTTATGATACAGTGTCATGAGTATGTAATTGAGGAGTGATTTGGGTTTGGTTCTCGAATAGTCAGTAGTATGGATCACACGCAAAACGAAAGTTACTACTGTGCAGTCGATGTAGTTAGATATGAGTTCAAGAAGGTGTTTGTCACGTAATGGAAATACGACTTTAAAGTCATCAAACTCGAAATATTTCCGTATTCACTAAATTACAACTTATCAGAAGTCAAATATTTACTATCGCCTTTATTCCATTGTGAAACTCGTATATAACGATGTGATTAAAAATCGGTTGTAACGATATCGGTATTTCACAAATCACCTCTTCTATTTACAGCGACAAACGATACCAGGTGTGCTCGGCAAGATTAGCGCCCCCTGCCGTACCTGTGGCACGTATCACAGACACAAAACAGCCAAAAACACAAAATCCTCAAAATAATATATTGCTTCTGACATTATTTGGTCACTTCTGAAAGGTGCTCTGCTAATGTCGAGTTAATGTCATCTTTTCAAGAAGAGTCATAAGATATACTCTTGAAATCTTGGTCACAAGACCATGCTCGATAATTCTTCAAAAGTTGTGAATTCCTCTAGTCATACTGTCTTATAAAGACCTATTACCTTGTTGAGTACTTGTTCTAAACATGAAACAAATGAGGCGGTTTCAACTGTTCTCATATATTTTAGTTCAGGTGGGTATATCAGTGAAAGGGATTTAGCTTCAATTTGTCGTGATTACAAACATAGAAAGTATATTGTTTCGATGTGGTTCCTTTCTGATATAGAAAACAATTAAACAAATCCTTTGAGTTATACACATTCGCACCCACACCCTTAGAGTCAGGCACCTAATCGCCAGTACACAAAGTCAGCCATCTAACCCACTCAGCCACCACAGCTTCCACAATTCAAACACTGGAACCACGCTTCATTTTTGCATCCACGAATTATACTTTCTGCTAATGGTGTGGTTCTATCATCATTCATGCCAGACCTAAAATAACGTAATAAGGTATTTGTGCTTTACAGGTGACCATGTCTCTTCCCGTTTATGTAGGGGTACAGGTCACCCAGCCGTCTGTGATACCGCTATTTGCTGTACAGATCTAGAATTGTGTCGCTATGGTCTTCTACAACATCTGCACCAAGGATGTATGAGATAGCTATTGAAGATGAATCATCAATGGGCTGGCGGATGTGTCAGTGTTCATTCGTTCAAAATGTTGTCGCTGAATATTCATCAATCCCCGCGGGAAAATGAAACCAGATAGATAGATAGATTCTAGCTTGCTTGTCGATTATAACACGCCGATGGGACCTAATACGACAGAAACAAGTTATGATTCATGAACCTTGAAAGTAAGTTGTTTGTCAATGACATTTTCTGTTTTCTATCATTATCTATCAGGTAGATTCTATTAGGTATTCATGCATGATGAACTGTAGAATGAATTATATTTGATAATGCCTTAAAATAGGATTATAGCATGATACTTTATCTCGTATAGTTTTTTTATATACGCCCTTGTAATTACTAACCAGAACATATCAAGGCGGATATATCAAGAATGGTTACTCACGGGTGTGGAATCCGAGTCTTAGGCATGACAAGCGAACCCTTTAACCGCTTGGCCTCCCTGTGACTCTTACAATGTGTTTTTTATAGAACTTTTGCTCCCATAATCAAATACTCAGAAACAAAACATTTCAAACAATAAAACAAGAAATACCAAAAACATTTACGTACATGTGATCAACGCGGCTTGACAGGTGAAAGAGAACATGTTTTGGTTCATAAGGATTTGCGTGTATGATGTTGTTTAACAATAGCAATATTCCACATACATACATACATACATACATACATACATACATACATACATACATACATACATACATACATACATACATACATACATACATACATACATACATACATACATACATACATACATACATACATACATACATACATACATACATACATAAATACATACATACATACATACATACATA